ATCTTCAGTTTCTCTTTGCTTATCGGTTTAAAACTTTTTTGTTTGTTTTTTTTTCTTCAATTTTTTTTTCTTCATTTTCGTTCGTGTCTCCTTTCATTTGTTTGGCTGTCTTTTACAATATCATTTCAGTTTGATTCTTCTCTCGTTTTTTTCGTTTCATTGTAGAGACGTCTTATATTCTTCCCAACTGTGATGTGGTACTATCTAAAACAAACTTATATATATATATACATAATAAACAAGCGTAAAAAAAATATATTAAAACTGTATAAAAATAAATCTTTGTGGAAATGTTAGCTTATATACACTCACACCTTCTCACACCGACATTATATTTTTCTGTCTCTCTCTCTCTCTCTAACTTTCTATCTCGATTGAAAATTACAACAACAACTACAACGAACAACAACAAAAAAAGATAGAATTTCACTTAAACACTGCTGTTGGCATTTGAACAAGAATTTGATTGAGAATTACTACTTTGTGTAGAACACTTACTGTAACTGCATTCGTATTCACAATGTTTAATGTGTTTGTCAAATTGTCCTTTAAGTCATACAACAAGACATTTCCAACAAAATCACTCGATGTGAAGCGTTGACGTCCATTTTGTTCATTGGCCGCTCTCTCACTCACATCGCGTCATTTTATGTGGAAAATATCTTGTGGAAAAACGAACTATTTCTCTCTGTCTCTATTTCTCTTCTTCTGCATCTGTAGCGTAAATTGTGAAAAATATTTAAAAATCCATGTGGAAAATTTAGAGAAAAATATTTGTAAAACGTTTTTTTTTTCCCTTCAACATTGCATCGAACAAATGCCAAAGTGGTTGTTCACGTACGAACGATTTTTAGAGAAGCAAATTATTTGATTGGATTTTTAGTGGATAATAATATATGTGCTATTTCAAACGTGATGAAAAGTGATAATTTGCAGTATTCATTGTAATGTTTAGATGTATAACTTTTTCGGATATTTTTGTTAGGTGTTATTCGCACCAACACTCTTATTTTTTACTCTGTAATTGTTATATATATACACACACACACGTGCACAATTTATTTAGTGGCAATGATCGAGCACAAATTGAAACGACAGTTTTTTTTTTTTAATTAGAAAATAGTTTTCATTGGATGAACATTCGAAATTAATTTGTAGAATTAAAATGCATGCACATGAATACATGAAGCAAAGGATTTTGTCGAAATTTTGACCGAGTTTTAACAAGGAAAAAACACACACACACACACTCTAATATGCAATTGAAAATAACAATTCTCATTGCATGAGCAATAAACCGTTTCCGGTTTTAAAATGATAACACATGCCACAAACTGGGTCAAAGCTTCGGCTGAATTTTTGGCTAATGTTTATTTTAGCACTAAATGAATTGAATGAATATTGCTTTATTTTTGGTTTTTGTAATCATTGATTTTATAATATTTGTAGAATTTAAGCATATAAAACAACGAACACTCACTAAATTAAGTATTTTAACCGAATGATTCAACCTACACATTTTTTTTCACTCGCCACACAAAAAACAACAACAATTCAACAGCAACCAACACAAAAACAACACATTTTCAGCGAATGTCCTGAGCAATCGGTGTTCGCATTTAATTTTGGATTGCATTTAATCGGAAATGCATATGCGCACAACTAATTACATTATATCAAATTACTTATTGAAATGCCATGAAAATCACCGCAAATCACATTGCATAAAATGCATCGTCAATGTTCGAATAAATTTCTGCGGGTGATAATATGCACATGTAATTAAAAACCGTTTAAATATATTCAATTGCATTTGATCAAAGACCGACCGGTCGGTTGGTTGGCTTTTTTTCTCTCCTCTTCGTTGCCAAGAGCAAGTCGACAGAACGTAATTGAAAAAAAAAACTTCCAATCATTTCCGAGCAAATGAAACAGAAAAACATTCATTCAATTCGGTTAGTTGTATGTTTGCCGGTTTTTCCAATTTCCGGTCGATTGCCAGAAGCACAACTCCTTTCCGGTCATTTTCCAATTTAAATTTATCCACAAAAATACTTTGCCGTCATTCATAAACGCAGGTCTTGCTTTGCTGATGCTAAATGCGAACCAATCGAATGCATTTGAGTTTGGCCAATCGAGTAAAACATGCATTTCATTGGGTTTCAATTGATTGATGCTCGTTTAATTCGATGGAATAAAAACAACTTAAGCAAAGTTCCATACGCTTCTCATTTCGATAACATTTCAATAATTTTCCCTATCCAACTGCATTTGATGTAAATATATATGATTTATTGCGCTGAATTTGACAGAAAAATTCAAAGCGATTTGTTCGCTTGAAAATTTCGTTCGGAAAACTGAAAGCCTTCAACTCCGACATTTATGTGGGGGGGAAAAAGCAAAGAGTGCAATGTTTTAAATAATGTGCAATTCGTTCATGTTCATTTTGATTGAGTCGAGCAATTAGCCTTGACTAATAACTATATGCTTCCCAGTGATTCAGAAAATGAACAGCGATAGAGCGAGCGGAGAGACCGACTCACTGCAAATTAATGAAAAAAGAAACAAGCAAGACCTTTCGAATTGAAACCAATCGATATGCGGTGCTTTAATTGTGGCTTTAAACCACCGAATAAGGATGGCTGGATTAAACATTCTGTAACATTGTTTGCTACTTGAGCACACATACATGCACATGCACAGAGAGCCATCGAAACCGTTCATACATTGTACAATGTTTGAAATATTGATTGATTTACCAACATTTTTTTTTTTTTGATATAAAACCGCACAGAAATCATGATATGTAACTGAGTCAATTGGTAATTTGAAATTGTAATTAGTTGCACATAGTAGAAACACTTGATTTTTGAAGTGAGTGTTCGACCACATAGCTCCCCAGTAACCAGTATTTGAATGTGTGAATTTCCATAAAGCACGATATTTTAGGGTCTTACCCATTTAGAATTCTAAAACATTTGATTTATATCGATTCAATTGCAATATTTTCTATGTACAACCTGTGTACTGTGTAACATATTTCTTACTTCTTCTCTTAATTTCTCTCTATATATATCTTCACTCTCGGAACATTTTAATTAAATAAATTATTTCTTCGTACGAACAAGAACAAAATGAGAAACAAATCGAAAAGAAACGAAAGAAAATAAACTGTCTTCGAAAACGAAAATAGAAAAAATACTATCTAAGGAAAATCCCAGACAGAAAATTCTTTAAACACCAAACAAAAAAATGTACTTCTTATACTCTATCCGTATGTATACTGCAAGTCCATTTTCTATATAGCATACGCAACCATTCATTTCCAGTTGTGTGTGCGCCTTCCTTCTTCCCAGTAAATAATTAAAATGTATGTTGTATCGCCATCTATTACGTACTAAATGGTAAACGTTCAAGTAATTAGTTCTTTGTCCCTGTCTTAAATCTTCCTCTTCTCTCTTTGTCAAATTTCTCTGATGTCATCTACACCGTGAACCCGTCTTCTTTTCCGTCCAAGAATAGAAACACACCACAAGAAACCGATATCAAAAACAATATCCATCACTTTGTCTCTCTCTCTTTCTGTATATTAACATACAAAAACCAGCACTATAATCTGTTCTCTCCGTATGACACATACCCTAAAAATTCGTTTTAAAAACACTTTTTATTCGTGCTGTCCATAGCTATAACTAACGCTCTAAACCCAATTTATATTGTTGTGTGCATTTATTTTAAATTCTTATTTGTTTATTCATTTTAATTAACACCAACATCAAACATACGTGTGTTGTATCCCGTTTCTGTTTGTATATGGCCTCATTTTATTCGTTGTTTATATTTGTTGTTGGTGTTTCTGTGCAATCAATCTTCTGTCGCTCGCTTTCTGTAATAACTCTTCTATCTATTCTATGTTCCATGAATCTCTATCTCAACCTGTACTTCATTTTATGCAAATCTATCTATCTCCTCATCTCAACAATCCTATTTCTTCTCTCTTTCCCTCTCTATCTCTATTTCTGTTTCGTCACAAATCTTTTTTTCCTCTTTTTTTTCATAAACAAACGAATCAATTCCACCGATATTCAGACATATCAACAATTTTCCCTCCTTGAAGCTTCAAATTAAACTAATACAATGCATGATTAGACGTGAAGTGATTGATTATCATTTTTTTTCCCAAGAAAATTGTGTGAGTTAAGCGAAAATATGTTGCCAACTTTAATAAAAATTATTCCGAATCTAATAATAATATAACGCGAGAGAGAGAGAAAAACCTTCATCTCGCATAAATTAAACCATGCCAAAGCATTCTAATTCCCTGTATGCCGAAATGAGTTGGAGCACGCGCGCAATAGACCTCCACCAAAAATATTGTGAAATTTACGTTTTCCGCGCGCATTCAAGCTTTTTTGATAAATGAACGGCGAATCGAATCGCACAACGAAAATTGGCTCATTGATATCAATATATCCTGGGAATTCAATCATCAATCACTTCACAGTCAATACTGTGTATACATCAAATAGTTTCTCTCACTTTCTTCTCCTTTTCTTCTTTCTTGTTGCTTTTCAAATTTCTTTTCCATTTCGAAAAAAAAAAAAAAAAAAATTCACAATCCAACCAAAGAAAAAGAAAATGCATATTTTTTTCTCTCTTCGCTTTTACCATTGACAACAACAACCGACAGAGAAAAAAATATCTGTTTGAGAAAACTGAATGAACACAAAAAAAAAAAAAAAATTTCAAATCATTTTATCATGCAAATTTATTGCTTCGATTGGATTATATAAGCAACATTAACACCACTAACAGCAAACAAACAAAAAACAGTAACATAGAATCTTTTTCGCGCACCAACAAAAACAAAACAACCAAGCATACATCCGTTTTATCACAATTCCGTTCGATGTCTAATCTGTGTATTTATTTATTTTTATTTTTGTTTTGCGTTGCAATTCACCAACAATTCCAAACCACCATTTAATTCCATACTACGGGCCGTGTAGACAAATTGGATTCGTCGTTTTCGCGGTCACGTTCATCATCAATGTCAAGCTTGGAGAATATCAGCACTGAATCGGTGACATGCTTAGCTTTTGCCGATAGTTATACCAAGAAAAGTGGTAAGCAAGACATTTGTAAAACGAATTTTTTTTTCTATATTTTCAGCACAAATTACGTGTCGCTCTCAAATGAGAGCGCAATATTTTCGGATCGGAAGTATAAACGTCATTAATAATTTATTTCATTTCAATTGCTCTCACAGATCCATCCACCTTATTGCCAACATTATGGGTTGGCACAAGCCTTGGGTCAGTTTTAACCATATCGATAACGTTACCTGATGCCGACGCACGTAAAATACAACCGGTTTTACCAACGATTATGGGTATGGATTTTTAGCTCTTTTTTTAGCAGTTGGTTTAAAATGGAAAATGCTTTCATTTTCGCTCGTACAAAAGAAAATTTCACATTAGCTACGGGAAAAGGGGCCTTTTTAATGACTTTTTCTGGAAAGATTTTATTCCGTTTTAATTGTCACTTGTATTTGTATTTGTGCTTAGGCGGTTCGCTGTTCCGCTTGAAGGGTTCGATTCTATCAATGTCATTTTTGGACTGCAACGGTGCTCTCATCCCATACTCGTACGAACCGTGGAAGGATGAAAATCGTGGCGGTGATGCCAGCCGAAGAGATCGTAATGATAATACTATATTTTATACAAATCCAGCATCTCGTTCGTCGTTTTATTTTTGGCATTTATTTTATGCGATAATCGATTTGCACGGCCAATTTAATTTTCAAATTTATTGCTCGAAATGAGCAAGATCACACACATACGCACACAAAATGCTCGGTAACCGTGTTAATTCTTGCGCTCTGATATGTTGTAGGTACGCCAACCAAACAAGGTAGCAATCGAATGAGTCCAACACTTGGAGCCAGCAGCAGCAGTGGAAGTACTGATTCATTCGGCGATCGACAATTTATAGCGATTACCAGTGAAAAAACGGCGCGCGTAATTGCATTACCTAGTCAAAACTGTGTTTATCGCCAACAAATCGCTGACACCGATTACGTTGTCAAAGCTGAAGTTATTAGTTTGAAAGGTACGATTTTGCGAAGCGTCGAACGAACCATTGAACGAACGACAATCGCTTAGAAGTCATAAAATGCAAACAAGACACTTTTTTCTTCATCTACTTGTTTCAAAGCTCTTTTTTTCACCATTTCAATTCCCATTTTATGCTCGAACACAGATAGCGTTTGCCTGATTTGCTACATTTCAACGGGACATTTGATAGCATACAGTTTGCCAAGCCTGCGACAACTAATGGATGTTGATTTTCTACCGTTGGCCGATCTCAGGTACATTTTTGCTTACTCAGACCGAACGAAAACAGACAGAAATACTAATAACCATTAGATCCTTTAATGTTCGTTTACGTCAAAACTAACACAAATTTTTTTCGTTAGAATTTTTTCTTGCATAAATCCTGTCTTCTTTCACACAATTACTTGCGTTATTTATCTGCGCGATATGACGATTGTCTGTTTCCTTTTTTTCTTTGTTATCTTTTTTATCCTTTCCTATTGAGTTTGAGCTCGCATTTGAATTTGACCAATTTATATTCAATTTATACCTCTTTTACTAACATATTATTTCTGTTGGTTGTTTGACTTTTTACGTTCTCTTCTCATTTGATTGGATTGTTTATATTTTGGATGAATTGTGTTTTTTTTTTGAAATTTTCAGACATTTTTTTGCTTATAGATAAATAAAAACAAAAAGACGCTTCAGATGATTTAGCCAAATGCATCTGAAGAGTTTGCATCGTATCCAAAATACAAAAACAACCGTAACAATCGATTGAAAATAACTATCTGTGATCCTTTTTTTTTTTTCTTATATCGAAGAAAATTTCCAATTTTATTTGTTAGCAAAAATCACTTTGCACAATCTAGCAACAAATTGTCTGCACATACTAATTTCTAATTCTAATGATAAGATCGTAAAAAGGCGAGCATCTTTCGCTTGATAGGCAATTTCCTGTTAAATGTTCAGCAGTCCATCTATCTATCTATCTATTTATTTCTGTGTGTGTAATTAAATCCATCAAATTACGTAATAAGGATTTGTAAGTTTGCTCATTCCTTCGCTTGTTTATGATGTAATCCCCTCCAGTGAACAACTTGAAAGGAAACAGACACACGCATTGCAAAATTTACCTTTGGAAAATGGCGAAAATGTGTGTGTTTGTGCGCATATCCGTGTGTACACAACTGTGAACAGTGTTATTCTTTGTGTATGAAATCCGATCCGAGCGCATATGAATAAATTCCATTTAATTATCCCGGATACATTTAACATGTGTATTTCATTATGCATCATGTGGATAATCACTAAGCTATAGTTTATCTTTAATGTTAGCTGTGCAATTTTTTTAAAAATACAACAATAGCAATGGATTGCTGTGAATAAATCTACCCTCGGTTGTGAGCGTGTCCATGAAAGCATTGTACAGTCATTCTCTCTCTTTCACTGACGAAGCCGTTTTGCACAAATTCTACGGTTTTCACATTGAACAAAACAAAAAATTGCATTGTGTACGCATTTACCGAAATAAAAAACGATCCCAAAAATGGAACAAATGTAACTTTTGCGAATGCATGTGCTATTGAAGTGTGCAATGCATCAGAGCTGTGCACATTGCAAAAACGTCCTAAACACTTTCTATTTGATTAGTGACGTTGGACCAAATGAAATACCGTGCCGTAAATTCGCCCAGCAAACAAAATTCATAAACAGATTTATATGTTGCAGCTGGCCCTGAACACGTCCCACACACGTTCAACCTCATTCAAAGCTGACGGCATCGAGCAATTAATCTCCTAATAAATTTATTTGTGTACACCAATGTAAATAGCATGGCTTTTGTTCGCATTGAATACACGGACGAATGCTCCGAATTCATTTCAAATTGATTTTAATTCCATGAACTTTTGATGTACCGTCGGCACGTCGCGTTTGTGCCATAATCCCATTTTAATATTATAGAAAAAAACATATCAACAGCAGCATTGATCTGGGTAGAATTTTTTTTAAATATCTGATGCTCCAATAAACAGTGCATTAAATATTTACAATTCACAATACAAAATAAACAAAGCGCCTTAAATGGTGAAAATTAAAAATTTATCAACCAGAACGATTGAAACATGCACAAAAACCAATCGGGAACTTGTAAGCATTCACCAAAAGTTGGTTGTTTCGAAGGGATGACATTACTAGTATAGGATTACATCGAAATCACTTGTTATTCAAGCTTTCAAATCACTCCTACGTATGACACACACACACACACACACACCCATTTACTCAAACGCACCGGCTGCCCTCTCAGCCTATTTCAAAATTCCATTTTGGCTGTAAATGTATCTCTCAGATCGACTGCAACGGATTTTGTTCCAGTGTTTTTGGCACCTCTGTTCTAATGCGTAATTGATATGGAAATTTGTAATTGTTATCTAAAAAGTTTGAGGCAAATCTTCTTTCTATTAAATACACGGTAGAGCAGCAACAAAGTGGCCTAGCTATTGCACACACTTGTGTCGTCTCACCATTTGTTTCGTCTTTGTCATTGGTTTTGCTTTTATGTTACAACTAGATATTTGTAGCAAATAGACGGAAACGCACCCGTGCAATGAAGCCAATGTCACGCAAATGAGCACGCCTGTCTATCTCTTCTATCTATCTATCTATATTCTCTTCCAATCACTTTCTTTCCAAATCTGTAATTGGTCTTTCACTCACACACACACACTCCACTTCTATTTTTCTCTCTTTCTGTACACTACTCTCTCGCTCTCTATCTCTATCTCTATCTCCATCTCCATCTCCATCTCTCTTTCTATCCATCTCTAACGACCTCCTAGTTCTAGCGATATTGCATACATTTCGATTGTAACCACTCTCGAACGTGGAATCGGAATGAGCGAGCACATTCTTTGCGTGATTGAAGTATACGGATCGTAGTCGATTTGCTGTTGACTGCGTGGCAATAGACTCAAATTGGGTCTGACATAATGAAATGCTCATGCGAACGTCGAATGGGAAAGTGGATGATATGCTCGTTCACATCGTCATTTCGAATTCGAAATCTAAAAGACCATGCTCTAATGCTCATTTAGAAGTTATTTGAGCGTGAATAACCGTCGAATGTATGTAATTGAAAACTTGTCAGAAATGTTTGAATCGAACGATCGAGCCAAAATTACAAATATTTGTCCATTTCACGCCCTCCCTCGTACTCTGCATATCTCAAACTCAAATGATATGTTCTGACATCACTATGCGCTCTCAAAACTTAATTTGATTTGTATTATTGAACGTCAGCTACGCTTCATTTGATCAATAAGCCAAATAATATTTACGCAAAATTCACCGACGCCATTTGCGATATACTCCTTCGACCGTCGGTGGTGCTCGACATCATTAGTGTACAGAAAACGGAATTATGCGAGTGCAAAGAAACAAAAAAAGCAAGATGAATCTGGTATTGAAAGCAGACATTCACTGTGGCTGCATATATGGCTGAGCTATTCACAAATAGCTGGCTGTTTGGTAAGTTTTGATTTTCTGACTATCTTGCCATGCAAATTCATGTGGTATCCAAGAATGTGGGACACCTTTTCAATCATTTACATACATTTTTTGTCCCAAATTCGTGGATGCCACATGAATTTGCATGGCAAGATAGTCACAAAATCAAAACTTACCAAACAGCCAGCTATTTGTAAATAGCTCAGCTATATATGCAGCCACAGTGAATGTCTGATTGAAAGAACACTAACTTTAGAATGAACGCAATTTTACTCAAAATTTATACATATTTAGTGCGGTCACCAATGCAGCTTGAATTTTTTTACTTTCAAAATTAAACCCAACTCTCAGCAGGCAGTTTTGATAAACAGTTGTTTGAATTTTGGATCGAATCAAATTCCATTTTACACTTTTAGCAACTTTTTTTTTATCCATTCATGCGTTAAGTTTTGTATGCATTTGTTTTTATAAATATCTACCAAAAAGAGAAAGAAAAATTAAGCGAGAACGCGTATCCACCGATTTATCCCCTTATCACTCCGAAGACTGTTGAATGTACCACATCCCGAAATCCAACCGAATATTTGTACAAGAAAGAAAAAGAAAGAAAAAAGTAAAATGAAAAAAGAAAAAGAACAAAGTGTTGTTTAAATGACGAACATTAAACAAACAATTTAGGAACACAAAAAAAGCGAATCCCGTAACGTTGTAGCTGTCTATTTGCCCATATTTTTTTCTTCTGTGTCTTAAACTAAAATCCAAACATGTGCTTCTTCTTTTTCTCTTGTGTACGTGTCTCTTTTTTTCATTTTCGGTTGTTTGTTGATCCAATTATTGTGTGTGTGCAGCTTTCAAACAAAATGTAAGCAAGGAATTGTAGATCCAATGCTTTCAATATGGGGCCAACAACTAATTGTGCACGAGGATACCAACCAGTAAGTTGTATTGTCTTCTTCGGCTACTCAACCATACCTTTTTCCCCGTATTTTTTTTTGTCTTTCGTTTTTTTTTCTCTTTTTTTCGACTATAAAAGCGGCACAAACAAAAGCAAAACTTTCAATATCGTGATAAAGACGAGAGATTGTAACTGAAGAAAAAAAAGAGATTGTTTAAAAATTAAGGTGGATGGTTTTGGTTCATGGTGGTTTTGGGTGCGGAACTTTCCGTCGCACGATTCCATGATTCCCCACGAGATTGGCAAAATGTATCGAAGATTTGAAATGCCGCATGTGTATAGAGATGCGAGTCATTTTTTTTTTTAACTTGTCGCCATCATAACTTCAACGAACGAATGCCATGGAAATGTTGTGATTTAACGCTCAAAATAACCACAACATAATTAATTCCATACACTTGATAACAACTTTCGAAGCGATAAACTAGGGATAATTACGTTGACTGAGGTAATTGTTCCATACCTCGTGCATTATTATTCAATATTCAATCATAATGAATTTTTTATGTGCTTCGTACACGGCATTTTACGGACGAAACGTTGATGTTGCTTGCAAGAAGTTTGAAAGTCTGCTTCTTTATTCTCTTGAGGCTGGACACTTGCTCAGAAGTTTTCTTTGCCATTGTCAAAGGAATCAAAAATCTGGACGACAAAAGCTCACTTCAAAACCTACATAGGCCAATACGATTCACCTTAACTATCGAAATATAGGAAAATCGATTTTTTGTGCTTGAAGCAATATACGCCAATAATAATAAATTATTTGAGTGCATTCGATTTTATTTAATACGATGGCAAAACAGATCGAACACCGACCATCACATTTGCTATATTTAAACGAATTGATTTTTTTTTCTCTCTCTCTTTCAAATATTAGCTTGTTTTATTTTTTCGATTCAAATCTGAGCTAGATATCGTTACATTTATTTGATTCGATTGACAGCTGAACTCTCTATTTTAAATTTTTTATTTTCCTAAATATTTGAAGCTATTGATTTTTTCTGTTTCATTTGACGTACGATTATGTAAATCTTACTACAGTTCATAATCCACAAGTAAATAAATTATCCCCAACAAATTCCAAATGCTCAACATTTATGTATGAAAAAAGTGTTTACGGATGAAGAAGGCATAGTGGCGCCTTTTGTAGTGGGCACTCGGGGAATGTAATTAGAATTGACCTACAAAGAAAACACTATAAAATATTCAGTATCCAGACAGAGAATGGTCTGTGTAAATAAATCGTAGATTAATAATGTAAAACTGGACCCAAACCGAACGTTTTCAATATAAAATCGGCAGTTTTTTCTAGGAAAAATAACCAATTCAAAATCTCACTTCAAATAATAATGTACGTATCAGTGAGTTTTCCATCAAAAAACAAACTTCATCACCAGAAAAAAAAAGAGTTTCTATTTTGAATCATTCTTAGACCTTTCATATTCCACTAAACTCTTCTTCTATGTATTTGTTGATCTGACTTTAAGCTCTCTTTGCTTTTGCCAGCACCGTTTTTCTTCCATCTTGCAGAGTGATATCACACGTTTTACTCACTTTACGAAATGAAAAAAAAAATTGAATCGAATCGCATGCAAATGAAAAACAAAATCAACATTTCCTCTAAATTCCTTCAATTGACTGTAACATAACACCAGTTTTCAAACCAGTTTGATATATGTGAAATGTGTGATCGCATGTGTTTTTTTTTCTCCTTTGAATATTTCTTAACATTTAAGATTTTCTCTTTTTTGAAAATGATTTTAACATTTAGATTATTTTAAATAAATTTCAATTTATTAGAAACTAGTTGATACTTGATACATTATCCCAGCTCCGCGACTAATATAATATTTATTGTTTCATTTTTTTTTGCTGTTTGAATTGCGTCTTTGAACACGCGTACGTAGAATTTCGAAGACTTTCTGCTTTAGCAATCGAGGGCATGGCCTGTATTTGGCAACACCAACTGAAATTCAAAAGTTCACCGTTTGTGATGAATTCTGGTAAGATCACGATTGCCGTAGCTCAACATCACGTGAAATGAAGAAATATTGAAAAACGTTTTTTTTTTTTTTTTCTCGCAGTCAATTTATGAACGAAATGATTGGTGAATTGTTTTCGCCAGTCGATATGCCCGAACCACCGAAGGAAAGTTTCTTCAAAGGTCTATTCGGCGGAGGTGCTCGAAACTTGGATCGTGAAGAACTTTGTGAGTATTCCAGTAGATTTTTGTGTGTTAGTCATTTGTATTTGGTTGTAATGTTCACTCATGCCATTATTGTTTCATTCTGAAAATTAACTGAACTTTTTCTTCAATCGCATTTAAAGTCGGCGAAAGTGGCAGCGGAAAACCGAATCGATCGGTGGCCAAGCACATTCCTGGACCCAATTTACAAGAATTGGGCTCACGTGCAAGTACGGCAGCATCTGAGATAAGCCGTGCCCATCAGTTGGCCATGGAGCGTGGCGAAAAGCTGAGTCAATTAGAGGATCGTGCCGAACGAATGTCAAATCAAGCACAAGAATTCAGTGGAACAGCCCACAGTCTTATGCAAAAATACAAGGACAAAAAATGGTATCAACTGTAGTAAATCCACTACCACCACCACCATCACTACCACCCACAGCCACACAAATACACACATACACAAACACAAATACACATACATATTCGCAGACACACAAAAATATCAACCTGATCACTATGGGGCAAAACCAAGCAAAAAATTGAATATGAACACACATTTATCTCGTCGCTTTTTTTTTTAAATGGAATTCAGGCAAACATAAAAATATCTCGATTCAGACGAGAAACCACAAAAAAACACACACACGTTGAATTACAAACCAAAAGAAGACGTCGATTCTCGCCAGAACACAGCCAATACACAATCAACAATTCACGATCATTCCAACACATTCACTGTTGGAACTTTTAACTTCTTTTTTTTCGAAACTTTCTGTGTGTCTTGTCAATCTTCAAAATATTTTCATTTCATTGTACAAAATATTGTGTCTTATCGTTTTATTACCTCTTTTAAAACTAATAATCAAAATGAAATCATAGCTGGTGACAAGCTTTAAGTGTACTTTTCTTCCTGTTGCTCTATGTACCATCTTTGAAAATCTGTTATTTTCACACTTTGTTTTAGCATTATTTGATGTATTTTTTTTAATCTGTATGCTTTACTCTAATTTTTAACTCTTCTTTTGAATTGTGAATGCATTTCATTCTATTAAATGTCTATCAAAAGTGTCAATTTATCTTATCCAGAACAATTGCGAAATGGAAAAATACAAACAAAATAAATTTTGTTTTGAGTTGTAATTTTTGCGATAACAAAACCAACCGATTGCATAATTTTGAAACAGAATTTTTTAAAACCGTTTAAAATAGTGTGTAGAAAAAGTGCATGAGTTGCTAAAACTTGCATCGCGTCCAAATATCATCATTTTTGCAATAGGCTCGATTAGCTGAATGAATTTTTCTATAACTATGACAACAACAACAACAAAAAAAAAATGAAGAAAACCATACAAAACTATTAGCTTAAGATCGTTAATGAAACTTAAAAAAAAAACACTATTTAGCCTTTAATTTGTATATTTGGAAGAGTATATTATATATATTTAGAAAAAGATGAAAAATTGTGTAAAATTGTAAGTATTTTCGAATCTAGGCATAGTTAAGAATGCAATGAAAAGCAAGAGAAATGTGAGATTTTGAATTCACGCATTGCGTGCAACTCCATAATCTGTGAGATTAAAATTGATTGTTGATAATATATATTTAAATTCTATTTACGTTATAGCGAACAGAAACACACTACATGCATGAAGCAAATTAATAATTGCAACCATATAACAAACAAAAAGTAGATAGTCAAAAAAAATTTCATTGTTAGTCCGATTGAGGAGGTCGTTGTTTGTACCACAAGTATCTAGCTTATTGAATTTGAAAGCAACATATAGACAAATTTAAACAAAAAAAATTAAAATTAGGGCCACTAAAGCGTTGACTATGTAAAATGAATGATGTTAGTAATAAAAGCCATAGCCTCTAAGCATTTGTTATCTTTGTAAATATCACAAAAATGAGACGCGAGAAGCGCGCAATAGAAGATGGTTTCTCCCATTTATTCAAGTTTACACTTCGTCCAATTGCTCAAAATACGTGATTTTGAAACAGAAAACTTCTCTTGGACACGGCTTCGAATTCGCCCTAAGCTTATTTTATCCGTATGGCTGTTATTATCCTTTTCTCTTGTCTTTTAACAAATAAACGTTCTGGTCACTAATTCATTTTCTTTTTTCTTTTCTGTTGAATTTTTTTTAATTTTTAGTGTTTATTAAATATTTGTTTTCTTTTTTAGGTATTTTGTTGTGTTCGTATTTTCAATTTGTTTTAGAATTCATTTCATTTAGTTTGGTTTTAGAGGTTATTATTTTCTGTTGTTTATCATCATTTTCATTGATGCCACAAATCTAGTACGTGAGAACGCTTCTGAAATACCGTTGCTTACATTCGATTCAAATTTAAATGACTAATTTTCATTCATCTTCCGTCAAACGGAAAAATGTCTATACAACGATAAATAAATAGAACTATGCCAATTTTCTTGTATTGAACAAAGTGCAAATTATTGAATTTTGAACTCTACAACAAATAATCAAAAGTACACACCGAACAAAATCGACACATATCTGCTTTTAAGGACATACTGCTTTCGGTTCATAAAATTCACAAGAAAACGGACGAATCGGTTTGAATTTCCACTTTGAAATAGTGAAGCGATTTCGTTTCGAAAATTGATGGCATTTTCATCGAATCCTGATAAATATTTACAAATTCCCATACGGAACACACATATATAAATCGATAGAATGGTACATATTTTAACATATCGTCCAAATCAAAAATCCCACATCTATTTCAAGATACCAATCAACAACAATGAAACTAATGTACAACCATCATTTTGAATGTATGTAATGCATCACTAAATTGGTATAAACTAAAACGAATGAGAAAAGGTTGCATTTGAAATTGACGTGCAGAAAGCATCTGCGTGAGCTGAATGTCATCAAAACAGATGAATAGAATTGAGGCTGTGAGAATGAAAATGGCAATACAGGCATAAACATTCTGAAACGCATCAAGAAAAAAAAATTCGCAAAAGTGAATCATGAGTTCTGAATACGCAGAAGTAAACCATGAACCTCCTATGCTGCCCATGTAAATTCATGTTTCACTTTTGCATATTCAGAACTAATGATCCATTTTTGCGAATTTTTTTTCTTGATGCGTTTCAGAATGTTTATTCCTGTATTGCCATTTTCATTCTCACAGCCTCAATTTGACCATCTGAACAATGCAAGTGAGATTGTCATTTAGAAACGTTGCAACATTTTGATTATTTTATTCATTTTTTTTTTTTTAATTTAATCTTTTACTTGTGATTTTTAATTCGATTTGTATCAAAGTTATTGACTGAAATTTTCTTATACAATATTTTGCTTGCAATTGTACAATAATTCGCTTATTTTTCATTTTGCGCTGCAGAAAAAAAAACGAGTATTGGCTGGATATTTTTGTTTATTCCATTGCTTAGTTGCATCTCTCTTTTTTTTTTCGTTGTGTTTGCTTTGCGGAATGTTCGAATGATCAGTTTCAACGCGAATATTCAACAGCGTTAAACACAAAAACAACAACAAAATACTTTGCCTCAACATGAATAAACAATATCACACAGCTTGCAAAACACAATCACCATTCATATATTGCTTAGTTTTCATCAACAACAACTGAAATTGTTTTGAAAAATTAAATCGAAATTATTTTCTCCTCAGGTAAACAAAGAAAAAAAAAAACAAGCCCAAACCAAAATACACATATGCTTTACGAAATGTAATGAACTTATGCGATGTTCGACCCGAACAAACATTGATGCGATACAAAGAATCTAAGACTTTGTTGGATTTCTTGTAACACACACAAAATCTTCTGTGCGTCGTGTGCAGCAGATTAAATGGTCGGAGTAAACATAGAAAACTTGAACAACGCAAAACAAAACTAAACCAAAAAAAAAACATTCATATGCAATTATTTTGCCATTCGATTTGCAATAAATAAAAAGGAGAAGAAACATGTTCGTCGAGCACAGAGCAATTCGAGATATATCAACTGCTAGCAAATCTATAGATACCAGAGAAAAAAAACTATTGCAACTGACAACAACAACAACAACAAATTATATTGATACCCACAAACCAAAACTTTATCGTAATGCATAGCTGACAAAAAAAAACTATTTTTAGTCTCACTTTTCAGAGCTAAACTATTGTACGTATTTAAGTTATATAAGTGAAAAAAAAAACATTTGACGATCTTTCCGAAACAACACACGTATTTGTTTAAAAAAAAAATGGAGTAAAAAACACATCACAAAGTGTAAACAAGTAAAAAAAGCTATACTCAGTGATGCACGTTACCAGAATTTTGGCTGGTACACAGCACATTTCACCAGTTGCGACTTCGGTCATATATTCGTTGATGTGAGTATAGTGTGAGTACGGCTTACCAGTTAGAACGTGTGTACATAAGGCGCGAACTAAGACGACAATTCACTTCGCAAAAATTCGACCGCTTCGCACACACGTTGTAACTGGTAAACCGTACACATGAGCCACAGTTTGCTTTGATTCGCATGAACGAATGTATGACCGAAGTAGCAAATGGTGAAATGTGCTGTATACCAGCCGATCAATTGGTGACGTGCGTCGCTGAGGAGTCTGCTTTTCAACAGAAAAATCAATCTAGTAGGTAATTAAGTGACGATTGAATTATTCGAACATTACACATTTCTGAAGTAAAAACAAAATCCCCTCCCTCAAAACCCAAAACACAACACATGTTATTATTATACAAGAAAAGAGCGTTTATAATTATTATTATTACTACATATGGAAAAAAAAAAAGTTTTTTGATTATAGTGTAGCCGAATAAAAATGTTCGTTCGGAACATACAAATGAGAATATCAAATAATCCCCCAGCTCTTTGATATATTGTTTGTAGCACAAATTTTGTTTAGGTGTTTCTATTTGCAAGTGACAAATATATATATTTGGATTGAAGTCGATTTGGTTTCGTTGGGCTTTTTCCACCACCCAACCGATAGAGCAAATTAGCCGAGCATGTTTTGAGTTCTTTCAATTTTGGATGCGATACTGAATTTGGATTTGGTTTTTCCTCGAACGAGCATGGAATCAATGATAAGAAGTAAATGAAGCTGCGAATCAGCAAAGAATGTTAGTAATTTGTTACGAATTAACCTTAATGTCCAAATTCAAAACTACATATATATATATATCAAGAGTTACTAGCGATTTTGTATTGAACAAACGTATCAAAAACCAAAAATATTCAAACTAATCAAAGTACAAACGTAAATCTGTTTCTCTGCCTAGACCGTACACTTTTGCCGATTCCACATGGGAATGACTAGCAAATACACCGTTCAAAAGTAGTGATGATGTTTTTTTTTTTTTAGATGAATAAAGTTGCGTTGCAGTTTTTGACAAAAACTAATTAGCTTTATCAAATTTAAATCTCTTTGATCCGAAAAACAAACAACGTTTTGGAATCGTTCACAGTCCTCGAATGTTCTTCCCCCCACCAGAAATCAAAATCGTAGTTTTTTGTTTATTTGGCGACGAATGAAAGAATAAACACCAACATCTAAAAATCTCAAGCTTAGAGCCACCCTCTCTCATGCACATCAATTCAAATGCAATTTATTCCTGTTCAAGAAAAAAAAAATTAACTAAAAAACCCATCTCCATTGCAAACAGAATCGATAACCACAAATTGTATAGAAGAAAAAAAAACTTGAAAGTTACTGTTATTTAGTTTCGTTTGCCATTTTCTCTTTGCCCCCAACACAAGTTTTTGTTTTTAAAGTCATACGTGTACATAGTGTCCAGATTTAAAAATGAAACGGCAATTGTGCTGTAACACTAGACAGTAGAAAGGAAAACAACATTTTGAAGTGAATAAACAAAAATGAAATGCAAAAACCAATTATCATGTTTATACTAAATAGTTGGCAAAAATGTGAATAAAACTTTTTCAGTTGTCATTAGTGTATTTTTGATCTTTGGTTCATTCGTTTTTTGAAGTTCAAATGCGGAATGCATGCATTGAAAACTCGTTAAAATATATCTGTGGTTTCAACGTATTAATAAAAAAAAAAAATGATACACGAACATATATGTGAAAAATGGAATAGAAAAAAAATACCGATAAAATGGTGTAAATTAAAAAGAGAATAACTATAAAACAAAGATATGCGCAGAATGAAATGACGCGCGCTGCTGTAAAGATGAAGAAAAAAAAAATGAAACATATTTTGTGAATAAATATATTTTTAATGTATTCATATTAAAATAACTTCTGAAGATCAGACCATTTGAAATGTCCACATAACAGACACCATATACAGAACAACACAAACAAGCACACATCCGTTTCAATGATGGCCACCTGTCAAGGGAGCGATCAACTACAAACCGCCCTCTGCCCACAGATCGAATTTCATCAACTTCCGAATGAGAAGCGGTTTTTCTGGGGATGTTAAAACAATCGTTATGACGATACACAACAACAACAAAAAAACCAAGAAAAACACAAACACTTGTCCACACTTCTCTTATGTTGTTATGAATTGCATACAAATTGGCTGCGTCCGATTTAATTTTTATCACAGACACACAAAAAACCATGTAGATGATAAATTGAACGCTTTGTGAATGTTGAATTGTAGAAATATTAGTGGTAATCTTTTGTAAAACAATCAAATCCAAACGAACCGAAGCATCATTCGAATTGACCGATGACTTAATTCTTATAGATGAAAATACATGTTTAAAATGAAGATATGTGAAATGCCGTAGACGTATTCCTTTCAGTTTCAATTGAGCATTCTATTTTGTTTTCCCTGTTGTTTTTGAAGACACGAAAAAACAAAAACTAGATCAATTTGCAATGGATACTTTGCCACTGAACCTGTCCGCAATTTCGTCATAAACAATCAAACTTGTTTGTTTTCAGTTCCTTGCATAGGACACACGAAGAGAAGAAGGTTCATTGCGAATGTTATTACAAGCAAAGATCCAACAACAACAACAAAACAGAGCAACATATATGTTACATGACAATAATACAGAAGATTTTGATTTAAATTTGAAAGAGTGCAGTTAAATACGTTGCTCGAACAAGCAAATCCATTGATTTGAAACATCATTTCGTTCGATGCAGAACCACAAAACAACAACAACAACAATGAGAAAAATAGAAACAAACATTTTTCTTCATTTGATGAGTGTAATATTTGTCTGAAAACTCTTCTTAATTGGCGATTTCTGCTTGAAATCGAATTTGTACAGACACATTTTTTTGAACTAAGCTGACATTTGAGAGCTGATGATTCATTATACAATGTTAGAATTATTCTCTAGATAAATGTTAGCCACATTTTGCATTGACAATGATTTGTTCTCCATTCAGTAGATGTCACACGATTAGTCTTCCGTTCAAATTGAAACTTTACGAAAGGAATACATTGTTTCGTTCTTCTTTTTTTTTGTTGATATTGCGTGCATAAACACAATCATTCTATTGTTCGTGGAAAGAAAGAAATTTTTTCTCTGTTAAAATAAGCCAATCAATTGCATTTACGTTCAAACATACTATACTTAGCTTTGTGACATTTCATTTTGTTGGCTGATACAAATGTTTTTTTTCCCAACTGAAGCTGATCATGAAAATCATCAAAAAATGAAAACCGTGATCGGATTGTGAGTCTTCAGTCAGACATTTCTCCAAAACAGCCGACTGACAACAACTGAGCCACTAAATCAATTGAGAAATTGGGAGACGTGTTTTTGATTCCTTATCCGAAACCCGATTTGCTTATCTGCAAATAAACATTTATTTTCTCAAAATAATAAAATTATTTCCTGCAAAACTCCAATTAATTGGGCACTTTTGCAAATTAAGTTTGATGTTGATATTCTAAAGTTCAAATTGTTCACAGATTTTTTTTGGAAAGACAGCAGAAAATAAATAATTTCAGTGCATTCAAACGTTAACTGGTACAAATAATGGGAAAAAAAATCACACACATACAAATGTTCCAATGCTAATTGAAATGAACACTGCTAAACGAAATTCATCTGTGCGACAACGCGCATACACATGGCTATTGAGAATATTTTTAAACATTGTATAGCAAATGAAAACAAAACAAAAATTAGGCTAAGAGTTATTGAATGATAACGTTTTCGTCAAATGCGTGTTTGAATAAGTTCAAATATTGTGAATATTCATTTCACAATGAAGCAATAGGCATAAAATTAAATGACAAATAACTATAAATAACAAAAGGATAAAAAACAACAAAGGGTGTTGGCTTTTAATGTTTGTTCTTTCTTTCTGCGAAAAAAAAACAGTAAATTAGAATAGTGAAAAGTGCGTTTTTTTGATTACAAACAAATCAAACTGAATTCAATTTGCTAAATACTGGAAATAAGCACCTCGATAAGCACAATGTTCTTCTTTTCTTTTTCAAAGAAAAAAGAGCAACCAACAATTTGTAATTTGCAATATAAGAAAAACCAAGGGAATAAAAAAACTAAAATTTAACATGATCAAGTTTTGTGGTCGGTTTGCATTGGACAGATAGGAATATAAGTATGGCTACTTCAATGAGACCGGTCAATTTAATGATGACGAGATTTAAAGGATGGACTCCTGAAACTCTCTTGATTGTGTTACGACTTAAGAAAATGCTGCAAATGACTAACAGAGAAGAAGAAAAAAAAACAATAAAAAAAAATGAAACAAACAACCATAAACACACACATCAATTCATACAATTCAGATAAGTGTGACTATATGAAGGAAACAAATGATTAAGCTAATAAATTACTACAACTAAATTAGAGAATCCGAAATATATTATAAACAATTAACAACAGAAAACCAAGAATTATTATTATTATATACAAAATTACTATATACACATTACAAAATAAAGAGAAAACAAAGCAAATTACAATGGATCGAAGCCAGCTGTTCTTATTAGCATTTCCTCTCTCTCTCTCTTGGAATAACAGCGATTTTTCTTTTCAAGTCAAGTATGGAATTTCAAAGGTGAGTGCAAACTTTAAACAAAAACTACTATACAAGAGCTGAAGGTTGCCTTGTTTATTTTGATTTTTGTTAAATCTCATAGTTGAAAACCTTTTTTTTTTCAATTGATTGCTCTATTCGCGTTATTCGAATGAAATAATGGTTTTTGGAAATAAAAATTTGATATCCAATTAAAGTACTGTCCGCAACGGACATAAACGGGCGTCTCGCAATAGACTGATAACAGCCTGAGCGACGAGTTTTCTCAAACTCCCCGTTCTATCCATTATTCCATTAATCCATTAAAGTACTGCACCAATTAGAAAAAAAACAACTGTTCAAATTAAGAGCATCTGGGTCATGCTGATGTTTCACTTTTAATTCGAAACATTTTCGATGGGTGGGATTGAGAGTGGCGTATGTTTTGCAAAGTTCGTTTTGGAAAAAGTGGAGAATGTTTTCAAGCGAAGAGCAAATCTTGAAATAATGTATTCATTTGAACAGATATACGATAATTGTCTTTTTGCACAATTTGACAAGGCCAACACTTTTTGCGAAGACACCTGTATTCGATAGTTCTTGTTATTTAAATGAAGTTCGTCAAAAACCACGACCGAAACATACTCTACTTTATCAAAATATATGTTGTTAAAAAACACAGACACTACTCTCAATCTCACCCATTGATATAAAATCGCGATATTTAAGACCGTTTGCAAAAAAAAAACTGTTCAGTTCGTTTGTAAAGATGTATCGTATTTCGGCAATTCTCTGCTTTCTCTCGAAGCTTGTCGTAAGTATTGCTTCGAGTTTGAACAATTTGAACTCTCTCATATCTGTACTCTGTTATAAATTAAGATGTGCTACGAAATAGTGCCAATTTCGCGTGATGCGTGGAATCATACCTACAATCTGCACTGGGAGTCTCTTCAGCAAAGTTTGTATTTTGTGGATTTTCTGAGTCAAAATCGTGTTTTAAACAGATACAATATGCGTAAAAATCGAATTTACTCGGCAACAATCGAAAGGGATCAAGTGCCTGCGTTTTTTATTCCACTGAAAAAGCGGCCGAATCAATTTGCTGGTGGTATCGAGCGAACTGTAAAAGTTATCAACTGGAATGGCGTCGATTCCATTGCTTCAACGTCTCAACATGTGTTTACTGTTGAAGAATCATCGAAATATGATGGAAATTACTGGAACATAGCGAAAGCCTCACCTTCATACAAGTTTTATGGTGGAACATATCGCACTGAAATTTGCAGTCTTTCATCGGCTGCAAATCCTTCAATCTACGGATATAGCAAGAAATTTGGAGTGGTGCGCTTGTTAACAAATGAAAAGGTGGCATCTGCAATTCACTGGAATGTCAAAGAAAAGAAAGTTTACCGAGGTGTATTCAGTTGATGTGGCTGCACGCAGCAACAACAAACACATTCCGGTCGAGTCGTTGCGGCTGTGGGTAGCAACACACGCCACTGTATGCGTCGTCAGTATGCTCGGATATATCCGTGCCTTACGAAATGCTGAGATGCTCAGCAATCTTAAAACACATGTTTGGATTCTTGAAGACCTGTGCGTCTTGGCAGGAACGGTGTGGTTGTGGATGCGGTTGCGTTTGGCGCCCGCGTACTCTAGCGGAAATAAAATGAAACACACATATGAAATCGTTCTTCGTTCTAGTTTCACGAAAAAACGACTACTCTTTTCTGAATAGAATGACCAATATGTCTATTATTGCAATGAACTTGTATATTTTCAATGCAAAGCAATATTGCGAGAAAAGAGTAATGCGCAGAGATGACTGAGCGCACGCTCAGTAGCGTATTCAGCAACTCAACTGAGAGTCGTTTTCTGCTCTGTGCGTTTACACTCACTTCGTTATGAGTTTAAATTCGCACTCTGACTCTGCTGCTAATAAATATGTGCGCACTCTGACTCTGTTGCCTTATAACGTTTATACACACATATAAAGAGTTGAGTGTGTATTGTCTTCTTCTTTTCTTTATGTTTCTTTCTTTGTGTATCCTCTCTATTGTTTGTTCGTTGTGTAAGAGTGCGCTGAAGCGCACTCCGTTGGTGCGCTTATACTCACTTCACGGAGTGAGTTTGTTTGTGCCGCAGCGCATTATCGCACTGAGCATGTTTTACGCACGCAAACTCAGTGTCCGTGCGGCCGTTGCTCGTTCACTCGGTGCGCTTCAGTCATCTCTGGTAATGCGATTGAATCATTCGCAATCAACAATGTCATCGACTTTGAAATGAAACGCTAAATCAGATGGCAACACCCTTAAACTAACGTAACCATCTATAAATAGTCAACACAATCGTTATGTTCAAGTCTTCACAGAAACAGAAATGATCTTTTATACAATTCTATTCCTCATATTGCGTATGATGATTGCGTAGAATGTCATATTCATTCTATAAATAAATTCGAATATTCAATGAATGGGAATTTCCATGGGGCAGTACTTTTCTACATCACAGTGTATGTGTGTATGAAAAGAATAGAAACATTTGGAAAAATACCAAAAAAATAACTTTACATACGACATATTTCTCGATAAGTTCAGCTAGTCTTAATAAATTTCACTTTCTATGAATTGTGTTATTTATGTTCAAATGTTGGGACATTGCATTTTCCACATCGGGTGGCAGCTAAGACCGAAAACAACTTAAATGAGAACTGTGGCGACGCGAGCGCCCTCAATTTCAAAAGGCAAATCAATGTAATTTCGTAATTTTTTTTCTGAACTAAACAGTGCGCCAATTTGAATTTTGTTGTTGGACCATGACTGCCACCCTATGATTTTCCTCTGTTTGAATTTCATTTGATGATTAGATGTCAAATTTCAGTAGGCATATGCTAAAAACACATTTTAGCTGAATATGTGTATTATTATCGAAGTGCAACTGAAGTCGACACGAAAATATTGAAGTAGGTTGAGATCACTCAACTGCAACCTAATTAGTCTAACCTATCAGTTGGATAAACATTTCAAAATCTTGGTCATGTTTATCTTTTCACTTTTCACTTGCAGTTCAAACACAGTGACAACGATTTTTGGACAATGACACAATTCCAACGAACGTATTTAAGAGTCGTAAAAATTGAACGTGGTTTAGTCAGTTCGCTAAGATGCATACAATTTGCATTCTGCTTGGATTTCTAATCAACTGCGTGGTAAGATATGAAAAAGATAAATCTTTTCAAGTATAAGGATTAAGGATACAACTTTTTTGTCCTAAAGGCATGTTACGTAGTAACTCAGGTCTCTGACCCTAATAAAACATATGCAAAACCATACAATCCGATTTGGTGCGCAGAGACTCAGCGATTATACATGGGTGATTATGCTGATGGAACACTTCTTTGTTATATTCCAAGTGAAAATACTATTTACGAAGCAACTGCCCCTGGTATAACTATACCATGGTACCTTATTCCGATAAAAAGTTGCTCAAATAAACACTCGACACCGTCTAATACCTTCCTGACAACCCGAAATCATACAAACGTGATCGTTCAGTGGGATGGAAAATCGCCAAATGCCACTGTAATACGCGACACATTTACGGTTGAAACCGATCCAGCATATCTATCGCATAATTGGCATACGGCCAAAGCTTCACCACAAGGTCATTTCATTGGCGGTACACTTCGTCTTAACCTGTGCGGCAATTCATCGGAACCGATTGCTGCTGGCTATAGCTACAGCAAGTGCCATGGAGTAAAAACGATCATATGCAATCAAAAAATTTTCGGTGGATTTGAATGGAATGCAAACCGCGATAAATTTTATCAAATCAATTCTTGCGACATGACGGTTTGGGAATACCATTACGATGGCAAAACGGGAAAGATTTCGAATGGTCACGTCGTCTTTCGATACCAAAGAAACTATGGAGATCCAACCAGTTTCCCAATTCAATTGACTGTTGACACAGCCGGATATTTGTACATAACTCTATATTTGGGCGGTTATGTTTTGAAGTGCGATCCAGGGTGAGTCTTATTTCCGAGGCAAATTTTGAGGAAAGTCAAGAAAAATGAGTTCTTTTTTGCAGCACTGGTTCAGTTCTGGAAGCAATTAAAATACCTGGGCAAATTCCAGCTGGAATTACGTGGGGTGGTGCCAATATGGACATTTTATTTGTTACTGTGTTTAGTAAAGGTCGCGAAACATACACGGGTCAAACAATTGATACAACATTTGCGGGAAGTGGTCTGTATGCAATCACCCAACTAGGTGCGACCGGCGTTCCGGGCAGAAAACTTTGTATTTAGATCATCAATTTGCCAACCTCATGTAGTTATGAGTCGGCAAGTGAGCAGCAAATAAGTTTACTAACTACTCGAGTATGCAGCTCAAATGTCGGTTGCATCCACCTCCATCATCATAGTTCGTTTCATTTTTCTTTTGACTAGCGTATATATTATCAGCGTATTTATTATCTTCCTACACTACGCGCATATAAATTGCTTGAAATTTATTGCTTGTTGAACTTTTTTGCAAAATTGATTTCAATTTTTTTTCTTTGCTTAGTTCACTTACTCTCATCTGAATTGAAATAAAGTCAACAGCTGTTTACATATTTGTAAAAAATTATCACGAAATCGAACGCTTCAAGTGTAAACTTTAATTTATTAATCAAAAATACAAGTTATTACAGTGCTTTACGTGTGTCACCACTTATTCTATAAATACCTTTATCAGTCCCAATGAAAACATTGTTGCGTGGATCTACTGTGATTGTCCGAAAAACACCATCAATGCCAGACATTTTCTTAGCTTCATTGGAATTTGCATACAAAAAAAAAAAATTGCTATGGATAATGTTTAATTGGCAAACGTAAATATTATCAGTCTTATCAATTGCGAGCAATCTGATCACGTCATTCATGCCTGCAGCCTAATTCACCAAATGTTTTCATGAAAAGTTTTCATGAGATTTTCTTCTCAAGTTTTTTTGGTGAAACAAATGTATCTAAATGTAGCAATGAGAAAATCTCAATAGAAACGTGAAAATATTCTCATTTTTTTGACATTATTTTGAGCGCAAATTTTAAATTTTCATTTATTTTTGAGCCAACCATGATGTGATCTCACATTTTTGTGAAAAAATCTCGAAATTTCAAGTTGGCGCTCAAAAAAATGTCAAAAAAATGAGAATATTTTCACGTTTTTATTGAGATTTTCTCATTGCTACATTTAGATATATTTGTTTGACCAAAAAAACTTGAGAAGAAAATCCCATGGAAACTTTTCATGAAAACATTTGGTGAAATAGGCTACTGAAGTCTCCGCTCCAATTTTCTCCACTTTGGACGAATTAGATCTCAGAACGAAAAACCCTTTTTCCAGTGCAAAGAAGTAAACATTATTGCCATGATCGACGTTTATGTGGGTTATAACCTTTTTTAAGTCATCTAAACCATCTATTTTTGATGTTGTTCCGTCACTCGTTGTTTTATAAGCTGAACGAGGGTTGGCCTAGTAAATGTTATTTTGATCATCGATTGCAAGCGAATTGGTGCTCTCTTTCAAAATTGTTTGCAATTTTCTTTCGCTGAGTTTATATAAACGGTCACTTGTTGTGATGTAAATATTGTTATCCCCATCGGCAAATAATCCATTTACCGATTGTGTTTCATTCCTGATGGCTACAATTGTTGGCTTTGGATTTGGTTTTGCTAATTCTTCCTTAGTTAGAACGAAAACCTTAACAAAATTCACTCATTTATCCACGAAGTAAACATGTCTTTGTCGGACAAAAACTGGTATTTGGAGCGGCCTAGATAATTTTTTTCTGGCAGTGGTACTAGGGTGCTCCGAGGAAAACATTATTTTGGCCATCGATTTGGATGAATTGAATAGATTCCGGAACCACATTTATCTCCAAGTCAGATGAACATTCATGTAACGTTTTCCATTCATTTAATGCGTTGGGGAATGTAACCTTTTCACTAACATCAACAACTAACTGCCATTCGCCCGAATAATCGTGAAAAAATAGCGAAAAATGATGACAGCTGGTTTTTGCGCTATATCTCTGCAACGAATCGAGATTCCCAACTGTGAAGTTTTCATATTCAGTAAGCAAATGGATTGACAACTGTTTAAACAAAATCAATAAACCAACAAATATATTTTTGAGACTATTCGATTGGAATATTTAAGGTGATCGCAAAGTCGAATTTATTTAGTTCAATTTGAGAATGTTTAAGATTTGCGCTTTATTGAGTTTTCTAGCCATTGTTGTCGTGAGTATTGTATTCAAAATAATAATAATTATTCTGTCTATATTGTATGTTCGTTTCAGATCTGCGATGATGTCCAGGTGAAACAAATTTCGCCAAATCCGTGGATTCAGCCGTACTCTCCGTATTGGTGTCCAACAACTGAAATGCTTTACATGGTTGACTTTATGAATGGCACAATAACTAGCTACAATGATGCAACCAAAAGAATCTCCATGGCTACTTTACCTATTTCTGCGCCGTCGTATCTCATCAAAGTGCAAAAGTTTAGCAATCAATATCTAATCAGCGATCATCTATCATCGTCCGTGGTGGAATGGGATGGCAGTGAAACGGTTGCGAAAAAAGTTCGTGAAACTTTTTCGGTTGAAGTCGATTCAAAATTCGTGGCAAATAATTGGAATGTTGCAAAAGCATCTCCAAAAGGCATGTTTCTTGGTGGAACTTTTCGTGGTAGCCTGTGCAGCAATTCATCAGCTCCAAACGCAGGACTCTATTCATATAACAAGTGCAACGGTGTGCAACGAATAGATATTCCGAACTTGAAATCTTCGGGTGGAATTGCGTGGAATGCTAAGGGAGATGTCGTTTATCATGTGGCTGCTTGCCAACGAGTCATTCGAGCATTTGACTATGACTCAAAAACCGGCCAACTTTGTAAATATGATTGAAAATTTTTATGTTCTACCATTTTTTTTTTGACAATGGATTTTCATGTCCGCAGCAAATGGGCGAATCGTTTTTCTATACGAACGAAATTATGGAGATCCTATTCAAAGTCTTCCACTTGGTTTGGCAATTGATAGAGCCGGTTACTTGTATGTAGCTATTTATTATGGTGGTGTTGTTTTGGTGGTCGACCCAACGTTAGTTCTCTTTCACATTGGAAGGAAATTCGTTTTATTTTCAATTTAAAATTTTTTACAATTTCAGAACCGGCAAAATAGTGAGAGTAATTGTTATACCTGCAGAGATTGTCACGGCTGTCGAGTTTGGAGGGAAGAATTTAGATAAGTTGTTTGTGTGCACAGCAAGCAAAGCGTTTGATACAAATACTGGCCAAATTGCAAATAGAACTTTCTCCCCGGACAGCGGAAAGGTATTTGAAGTCACAGGGCTTGGCACAGTTGGTGTTCCACAAGGAACTATTTGTATTTGAATTCCCGATTGAAATTTCTATCTTTTATTAAATGAATCGATGATTGAAAATTAATTTGATGTCAAAGATAAAGTCTATTTTAAAACAATTCAATTCATTTATCATTTTTATCGATACAAAGTCAAAATTGTTATAAATTAGGTATATAATTAGCTAACGGTTCAAGCTTCATTGAGTAGACGTTAAAATTTTGAAATGAATAAATTCAGACAGAAATCTTTCCTTTTCTTGGACATGGACTTAAGAGCTATTGTACCAATGCAAAAGAGTTACATTAGATTCTTGAACTCATTCTCCCATTAACGTTGAGTATAGTGCATTTCAAACAGAACAAAGAAAATAGACCGATGATTTGTTTATTTGACTATCAACATTTTGTTTGTGCCTTTCAGCCCGAATATTGAAAATTGAACCAATACTGAAGGTAATATTGATTTAGACAATCAAATTCAGTTCAATCAAATGTCACATTCCAATATAAATATTGTCATAAGACAAATAGAAATGAATGGCTCGACGAAGAAAAGCATAAGCTATTAAGATATATAAAATACCAATTGAAATGGAGTACTACCATGGAAAACTGATTTTCGTCGACCTTTTTCTGAAGAATCAAGAATATTTTCGTTCATTGTTCTAGATTTTGGTTCTTAATTTGAAAAAAGACAGCTGTTGAAATATTTGCTAAAAATTGCAGTCAATGATTGACTTTTATATTTTAATTCAACGAAGAAAGTGCATATAGCTCTAGTAACCCACATTGAAACAAACGTATTTAAGGAGATTTTGGGATAAATTTTCTTCAGTTGTACAGTTCAGCTTGAAAATGCATACGATTTGTATCTTTTTGTGTTTGTTTATCAATTTCGTCGTGAGTATTGCACATATTTTATTTAAAAATCAAAAGTGAAATAAAATCGGATTGATAAAATGTTGAATTCTGCATAATTGAAAATCGGTGTCTTTTGCTGAAGGTTTCGTACGAAGTTGTTCCCATCTCATCGGAGCTATGGATGCAAACATATTCCGCGCATTGGGATGATGCATCGCAAAGTCTTTATTTTGTGGATTATTTGAGCAAAAGTCGCGCAATAAATAGGTAAGATGACTTTTTTTTAGCTAGTTTGTTTGTTTTCGGCCGGGATTTTTTTTCAAACTTCCGAATAAATTGATTTTCCTTCAAACAGGTATGACATAGCCAAAGATAAGGTTTACTCTGCGTCTGTTGAAGGCATTGAACCAGTTGCATTTATTCTTCCACTGAAAAAATGCTGCAATCGTTTCCTTATAGGTGACGAACTCTCCGTAAAGGTGATCGAATGGGATGGCAAAGACAAAAAGGCGAGAATAGTTCGAGAGGAATTCAATGTGGAAAAATATGAGGGCGATGCACCGAATTCACTCAGCATTGCTAGAGCTTCGCCCAACTGTGAATTCTATGGAGGAACACTCATTACCGATTTTTGTGGTGCAACAAAGGCTGGAAATGCTTCTCTTTATCACTACAGCAAATGTTGTGGAGTCAAGCAAATATGGGGTGATCTATTGCTTTCGGCTGGTTTGGATTGGAATGTAGATGAAAATAAATTCTATCACATTGATTCATGCAAACGTGAGCTTCGGGAGTATGACTGGGATTCAAAAACCGGTAAAATACGTAAGTATTTAAAATAAACCAAAAAGACAAATTATACGTTTGTTTGATCAACTTTATTATGTCGAATCTTAAAGGCAACGGTCGTGTTGTGGTTGACTTGCAAAATGTGTTAAATGTAAATACTATCCGGTTGGACTTACCGTTGACACGGATGGATTCGTGTATGTTGCCATGTATTATGGCGGTGCGGTTTTGAAAGTCGATCCAAGGTAAGCTTGGCCATATATTCTATGCCAGTTAAACTTACATTTGATCGAATCTTCACATTTCAGATCATCAAAATTGGTGAAGGAAATTGAAATACCGGCGAAGATTGTTTCTTCGGTCGCGTTTGGAGGAAAACATCTGGATACACTCTTTGTGACCTCTGGTGGAAGAGGTTACAATTTCAATACTGGAGATCTTACAAACAAGAGATATCGTGGCGAAAGTGGATCAGTTTTCATGGTGAAAGATCTGAATGCAAAAGGATTCCCTGGAAGAAGCGTGTGTTTGTAACCGCTTGAATTGCTTTTTCAATTTTAAATTATAAACATTTTCATTGGATGATCATGAACTTTGGTTCAATCTTTCTGGTGCACAGTTATAAACAAAGCTTGCTAAAAGAGCAGCTAGCATAATAACAGAGAATCATTTAAAAAAAAAAATCCAAAATAAAATATTTGTATTTCAACAATCACATTGATTTTATTTGGTTTATGACAAGCTGTTTACACCATACAATATTCAAGCATATTTATCTGATGTCTGTTGAAAAGTAAACAAGCACTGTACATTTGTCAAAAATATACATACATATGTTCAAACAGGAGTTATGGCACAGCTGAATAAATTCAACGAAGGTATAACTAACGAATGATTTATGGCTGAAAAGTAATATAAGAGTTACATCAGATATATTTTGACCGAATTCTAGTGAAGTATATAACGAAGTTTAAAGATCACATTTCTTCAATATCCATTCAAAATGTATACCATTTGTGCAATTTGGTGCTTTTTAATTGAATGTCCGAGAATGAAAACGCAACTTCTAATTTTTTTTTTTTTGTTTCACTTATATGTGTTGTGAATAGAAGTTGCGTTTTCATTCTCGGACATTCAATTAATCTCTGTAAGTATATCAAAAAGGAAAAATTTTACACTCATTCTTAATTGTGACATCAATCGACTTTGGTGGCTCGAAGCTGGATATATTGTATGTAACTATAGCAAGCAAAGTAACTGATGGTGGATTTTCCACCAGAACATTCTCACCAGCAAGTGGTACTCTGTTCATGGTTAAATGTCTACATGCAAAAGGTTATTTAGGGAGAAAGATGTGTATTTAATATTCCTTTGCGGAAAAAGAAAATCTACTTCGAACATTTTCCAACTGAATAGAGAGAAAAAAGAAAAAAAAACAATTTGCGGTTTTTAATTTCATAACTCAAATAAAATTTAGTAAATTAATGATGAGCAATATACTTAATTTGGACTAAATCGCAAAACAATCACCTTGATTGTACATATTATGCAAATGTTTGAATAGAAGTCAAATGTTGGTCATGTGTGATTTTTAATTTACGGTCATCCAATGACATACATTCACTCGATGTATATAAGATGGTTATGAACTCAAGACAGTTTGGTCATTTTGGAGGTGAAAATGTATAAGGCAACAATTTTGCTCATAGTCATTAGTTTTTGCGTAAGATTTTAAGGGCACACATCGAAGATTAACTGATCGAACTAAATTACGTTTTCAGTCGTTCACAATAGGTGACTTGTGATATTTTTTTTCCTTGATTTTTGATTTTCAGAATAGCCGCAACTGTGTACACAGTTATAGTGTCGAAGCAGTGTCATCGCAAAAATGGTCGCAAGCGTATTCGCCATATTGGGACGATCAGAAGAAGTGTTTATATTTCGTAGATTTTTTCGATGCAAAACGCACTATGAACCGATACGTTCCAGCCGAAAATCGATTTTATTCGGCTGCCATTGAGGGAAATATTTCAACGACGTTTATGCTGCCAATTGTAGAGCATGTCAACCAATTCGCTGTGAGTGATAAACGATCTGTGAAAGTAGTAGAGTGGAATGGAGTGGATTCGATGGCTAGAATGGTACGCGACACTTTCACAGTAGAAACTGGACCAAAACATGAGTTCAATAATTATAACATGGCATGGGCTTCGCCAAAGCATAGCTTTTATGGCGGAACTTTTCCTTTTGATCTTTGTGCCACGTCATCAAGTCCACGAGCATCCCTTTATCGCTATAACCAGTGTCTTGGCGCAAAGGCAGTAGCAAATGACGTGATAGTTTCAGGTGGAATGGACTGGAACATTAAAGGAAACAAGTTTTATTTCATCGACACCTGTCGCAATGTGGTTTATGAATACGATTGGGACCCAACAACAGATGAGATATGTAAGCAGTTGATATTCAAAGTAGAAAATTCCCATTGGAAATGTAAACAAATATTTTTCTGATCAAATGTTCCAGACAACAGACATGTTGTATTTGATTTCAAAATCAACGGCGAAATACCTGACTATCGTCCATTAGGAATGACGATCGATACTGATGGAAACCTCTATGTCGGCTTATTATACAAAAGTGCTATTTGGAAAATTAATCCAAGGTTAGAAAATACACAGTTTCGATTTCTAAAATTGAATATCACGAACCGATGAATAATGGTTTGTTTCCATTATAGGAAATCGAAACTTGAGCAGGTGATTGAAATACCATCAGAAATTGTAATTGGATTAGTTTTTGGCGATGAAGACCATAGTTCGTTATATGTCACGACCGGCACAATAGGATACAATTTCACCACAGGAGGATATAGCAACAGGACATTTTCAGCTGAAAGTGGCAAAATATTCAGAGTTATTGGACTGAATGCGAAAGGAAACCCATCCAGAAAAGTTTGCGTTTAAAAAAATAACACAAAATGTGACTCGAAATTTTCTTAGACATTTTTAATGAAGAAATAAACGAACATTAGGAAACATAACGAATAAGTACTATTTGGTTTTTTCTGTCTGACGATTCATTTGTATTTTATTTCATTTTTTTAGATTTTTATTCCAATAAGATAAAAAAAAACAGGTTTTTTAGAACAAACCAAAGACGTTTGAAAATGTGCTGTTTATTTTCTTCATTGAGATTTAACGTTATGTTATTTCGTTTTATTTTGGAAATTTATATAAAATTTGGTGGTTTTTGAAATTTTCAAGTTCATGGTTTTTATCGTCCATATATCAACAATAAATCTAATCGAATGAAAAAGGCAAAAGAAAGAATAAACGTGGATAAAAAAAAGACAAGCAAAAGAAAGAAAAAATGAAAAAAAAGTGCCAACGACACATGGTGTTCCCAGACGGTCACCCATTCAAGTACTAACCATGCTCAATGCAGCTTAACTTCAGTGATCGGACGAGAACTGGTGCTTTTTACATGATATGGTCGTTGACAAAAGTGATGCGATACTTTCTGAAGATATTTTCTTTCTGAGTACAGTCAAAAAACATTTTCATGGTCATGAATTCGATTGGTTGAAAATCAATGCATTTTGAAAGATATAAATAAATTTTTAAAAAATTTCTCTCGATTCAAGTTCATACACTCGCTGTGCTCTCCTGATTTCATTGAACAAGTTTCGTTTTTTTTTCTCACTTTGCCAGCACGTTTCCGCTTGTTTGCGCATGAGTGTGTTTTTGTGTATGAATCTATCGCCGGATAGAAATATTTCTATGTGAGAGGATAGCATGGAGCAGAGCGCATATGTCGAGAAAAGCAAATACGGGGAAATAGTAGCACGAAATAATCATTGGAGAAAGTTTCATAGTACTATAATGTAAAAAGCCAATGCCATAAATGTCAGTCAGATATCGGAAAGCCAGCGCATTGGCAAAGAGTGCTTTGACACTGATGGACAAATATTGAAGAAGAAAATATTTTTTTTTTCTTGAAAAGAACAAAAAAAGAACACCAATATAATTTCATCTTTTCAATTTTGTTTTGGATAACAGTGGTTCAGTGTCAAAAGTGAAGAGATAAGTAGACCAGAAGAATCAAAATCAGAGAGAATCAGTATATTTAAAATGAAATAGTGTGCATTTGAGCAAAAGTTACGCGCAGATACGAAAATTAACTTGAAAACGGCTTCCAGTTTCTATTTTTTCCGTATTTCCAAATAGAACGTAGAAATCATAGAATTTTCCTTTGAAATATTTTGATCATTCACATTTTGTTCAATTTAATTGTTGAATAAGTTCAGTGTGAGGTCAAATATTGCTGTAGTATACGAATCCAATGGCACTAAAGTATGGGCCCTATTGAACACGCTGTTGGCAAACTATCACGTGTGTTCACAGTAGGAAATATAAAACGAATCTAAAAATACGACTAAGTTTCTTCCTTGCAATCGCACCGTTTTATATCGACAATGACTGGTGAATCCATCGGATGTGCACCACGAAAGAAAAGTAAAAATAAGAAAGAAGACAAAACGAGCAAAAATGAAAACAACGGCGATCTATCAAAAATTGTACAGCCATCGAAAACGACTCGCGGTGGTTTGCGTGTATACAAGATTGTCATGCTTGGCGATGGTGGCGTTGGAAAGTCAGGTAATCGAATATCATTTTGCGTAGGAATGTGTCATAAATTTGACTAATTGAAATATGATCTGTGCTACTCCTCCAATGTCAATGCTTATGTAACCTTGTCTTATCACTGGGCTTAGATACAAAATATATAGCATTAACATATATGTATATGCGTATCGTACATACACATAAACTACATAATATTCGTTATTTCATTTTCAGCTGTTACATTGCAGTTTGTAAGCCACAGCTTTCTGGATTACCACGATCCAACCATTGGTATGTATGAAAAAATAGATTATCACAGTTTGACAATGGCAAAAATAGAACGCAATTTGTATATGGAAATGTTCATTGCAGAGGATTCGTATCAACAGCAAGCCGTAATCGATGGTGAAGCCGCTCTGCTGGATATATTGGGTAAGTAAACGTAATTTCTTAGTGGATATATTTAGATATGGTTTTTACACCAGAATCATTTTAATTTGCGTCTTATTATTCATTCGGTTAACATTTTTCTGGATTCAAATCGTTCATTTCCAATAGATACTGCTGGTCAAGTGGAGTTTACAGCGATGCGTGACCAGTATATGCGATGTGGTGAAGGATTCATTATCTGCTACTCCGTTACGGATCGTCATAGTTTCCAGGAAGCATCTGAATATCGAAAGTTGATTACGAGAGTTCGTCTCACTGAAGACATTCCTTTGGTACTAATCGCTAACAAATTAGACTTGCAATCACAACGAAAAGTGAGCATAAACCGAATAGGCTATTCGCATCGGAAACCAAATCTAATCCGAAATGAAGATGTATTGGATTCATAATTTGTACTTTTACCATAGGTTTCTACTGAAGAAGGCAAACACCTAGCAACTCAATTTGGTTGCCCATTTTATGAGACTTCGGCTGCATTGCGTCACTACATCGATGATGCGTTCTACACACTAATCAGAGAGATTCGCCGCAAAGAGGGTCAACGGGTATTTTTTTCATGATTCAATCCGTTTAAAATCAATCATTTTAACTTGAATTCTTCTTATTTTCAGCAATTGAGTAACAGCTCGAGCACAGAGAAAATTGATACGAGACGTCGGAGCCGATGGTGGCGAATTCGATCAATTTTTGCGCTTGTCTTTCGTCGCCGGCGACGAAATAACTAAAGTCACAGCCAACAAAACGAGGATAATAACGAGTAAACGATACACAGTTTCAACATCGACACATACATATATGTCTAGAGTTACATTGCATTGCATGAAGGCTCATTTACTTTAGACCCACAAGCAATTCCACAGCAAAAGAGATACAAACACAGTTCTAATCGTAGCATAATGATGAGTCACAAAAAAAAATTGTGTAGAATTTTCCAAATTGCATACAGAAATGGGATACAGTACCAATTTTTATACGGCAACAATAAACACAACAATTCAGAAGATAACGACACCGAAGCCCACAATATGCACTGTGTACAATGTACATTTAGATGCAAAGCATCATAATACAATTGAATTATTTTTTTATATGCAAATGCCGTTGATGATGCATCACACATCTTCGCCATACCAAACCAACCAATACCAATTTTTGCTTTATAAACTTTTGTGATATTTGTTATATTTTATTATAAGAAATATTGATACTGTTCAAAGTACCATCATTGAGAAAGAGAGCATTTTTGATTTGAGTATGCATTTTTTTTTTAAAAACGTTTTTATGCTTTATTTGAGAAAAAAAAAACATTATTTTGATATTTTATAACAGAATCTCGTTTGTCAGAACAAAAATTTGCATTCTTTGTTGACCGAAAAAAGAAAATGTTGAGAAGCAAAATTTTTTTTAATGTATTTTTCTAAAATGAATATCCCAGGCAAACAAACTATTACTCAAGTAAATTTAATGAAAAATGAATATATAAATTACCAAAAGTAGCAAATATCATATTAGAAATCAACAAATCATAAAGTTATATTGTCCTTGTTCAAATAGAATGAATAGTTGTTAAATGGTTTTCCCGAAGACAAACAAAAAGGAGACAAATAAAATGCAATGGAGCAAATTCTATAGCATCATATTCACTTCAAATGTATTTGTAAAAGAACGATTCGTATTTTTATATTGTCCAGGCCATCCACATCGATTTGACAGTTAAATCGTGATGCAAACATTTTCATTGCACAAACTACAAACGTAAAACGATTTATAAATTGAGTTTTTTTTTATATGTTTCTACATTCCATTTTTTTATGAAATGATGAAACCAAAATAGCAATAGCAATCGCATTTTGTTCTAGCTTGAAATTGGATCTGACACATTAAGTAGCCAAAACACAAATAGTGAACTATTGCATTTCACCGAAAATAGAAATAAAAATGTTAGAATCAAAAGCAAAGATATCAAATAGCATAGAGATTATTGTCAATAACAAATAAATTTAAAAAAAAAAAAGAAGTTATTTTATTCAAGTATCAAGAGTAGTAGAACGTTGTGGAAATATTGTTTTTGACCATTCATTTGAACAAAAAATGAAGTTAAAATAAAAGAAAACAGTAAGAGTATATCAGAATAATATTATAACAATAATAATAATATATAACAAGTCAAAATTTATTCAATCAAAATTGTTACAAGAAATAAAACAATTGAAAACGATTCATTGTGGTTGTTCTTTTTTGTTTCAAAATTCGATTCAGTTTACACATTTCTTCCCAGAGGATGTAGCTCATCAAATCTAACTACTTTTAGATTATGGAATTTAATCGCTGAAAAACCGAAATGAATTCTGATTGCCACGTTTCACCTCACGAAAAAGGTGATCCCAATAAAGTGGTATTCATTCGTCAACGACCATATCATGTAAAAAGCACCAGTTCTCGTCCGATCACTGAAGTTAAGCTGCATTGAGCATGGTTAGTACTTGAATGGGTGACCGTCTGGGAACACCATGTGTCGTTGGCACTTTTCTTTTTTATTTTCCCCAGGGTATATTTAATTTTTTTCTCCTCATGTCTTTATCTCATCTCTTTGTTTTATTTAATGTTTTTAAATTTCAACTTTTTTTATTTTTATGTATTCCATTATTTTCCTATAGAACCATGCCAAAAGCAAATTGAAAACATTTTTGAAAGACACAAAATCGAAGAATTTTTTGTTTCAATCGATTTGAAACTATTTTCTCTATGAAATCTTGGGAATTTATTCAAAATTCATGATGCAAAAGAATATGTAACGAAAATAGAATAAAAAAAAACATGGTACAAACGGTCATATTTATCAGTGAATTTTTCAATGAAAATATTCATTTTTAGTAGGTACAAAGATTGATACCATGTCAACCGTAATATGACCTATCCGTAAATTGAAAAAATGTAAGAAATAATATTTTTTTTCAGTAGTTAAAAGCAGCAAATCTATGTAAAACATTTAAAGAATCAACAAAACAAATTTGAAAAGTAAAAAAGCAAAATGAAAAAAAATATCTCCCCAGCAGGGAATCGAACCCTGGTCGCCCGCGTGACAGGCGGGAATACTAACCACTATACTACTGAGGACTTGAAATAATATGTGCTCAGTGTATATTTGTGCTGTGGTGAACGCACGTGTTCGGTATATTTCATATGCCTACAATCGTTTAACCATGCATTCGTAGAAAATGTGTTGTTGTTATTGCGGTCAGTTGTCGAAGTTTCTTGTGGGCGATTCATGGAAAATGAATTGTGCTGTTTATGAGATAGACATGTTTTTCTATCGGCTTAGTTCATGAGGAAAAAAATTACCCATTCGTTTTTTTTCTATGCATCACATTTCCACTGATTGAAGTCGTCAATGCTTGACGCTCCAGTATCTGTAATCTCAGAATGGATCTCACGTGTTTAATTAACGATAGAAAGGAATATATGAAATTCGAATTTTTTTTCAAAATATCCAAGAACGAAATACCTAACTTGCATTGAAAATAGAATTCAAAGCCTAGAAATTATGTTTTTTTTTTTAAATTTGTATTTGTTTTTATTATTAAACAATTTATTTACATGATGAATTTTGCTATAATTCTTCACTTTCTCCAACTAATAATAAAATAGTTGCGGCTTCCAGTCCGTAAAAGTGTGAAATTGTTGGCTAAAATATGCACAGCGGGCGATATCACTTCGGCGATATTTTTACATCGATTTTGGTTGATATAGAATCCACCTTGTGTTATGTATCTCATTGCTTCACCTGTTTAAATAAATGCAACGTTTGTTTATTCTTTCTAATTTTAAACGCACAAATGTGAATACGTACGATCATGTTTGTAAATTTTGGCTTTGAGCACTAAATCTAGAACCGTCATTCCTGGCTCGAGTAAAATCTCATGCACCTTGGCACCAACGAAAATGCTCTTCATTTCAGCTTGGCTCAGTGATGACAGCGCAGCAAAATCTCCATCATACAGAGCTGCTGTGACTTGTTGGGCTTTCTTTAGTCCATCCTCTACAAATTTCAAAACACAAAATATAGGAAAAAAGTGTTAAACAATCCAATCAAACCAAATAATACCTCCATGTATCAAAAGAGTCAATTGTTCGGCTAATTTTTTCGGCGCCAGCCTCAGATGTGTGGCCTTATTTTGTTCAATCATAATCTCGTTGATTTCTTCGAGTGAAAAGAAGGACAACATTTTCAAAAGATTTTCCACTTCGTCGTCTGGTGTTCGAACGAAAAATTGGTACAATGAAAATGGTGAGGTTTTTTCAGGATGAAGCCAAATTGCATTGCCTTCAGATTTTCCCAGCTTCTTGCCGTCTCGCGTAGTCAATATAGGTATTGTGATACCGAAGGCATTTTTATTACTCTCTAACCGCTTGATTAAACGATACCCTGCACTGATGTTGCCCAATTGATCGGCTCCACCCAGTTGAAAGCGGCATTTATGGTGTTTGAACAGTTGCCACCAATCGTACGACTGGCATACTTGGTAAGAAAATTCGGTAAAACTGATTCCTTCGTCACTCTCCATTCGGGAACGCACCGACGTTAGATTCAACATGTCTCCGAGACGAAAGTGTCGGCCGATGCTTCCGATAAAGTCCAAAAATGACATTTTCTCATACCACTCAGCATTGTCAACATATCTACATTGAAAAATAAGAGATTCATTTCCATAAGTCATCGCCAAAAAAAAAAAACAAATGTCTTAACAAAGGTGCATTACTTGACTGCGTTCAATTTTCCCTGCACTTTTTCATTCCATAGATATTTTCGATGATTATCGAAAATCTTATGCAATTGCTTCTTTATGCACGATAAATTATGTTTCAATTCTTTCGTTTCCAGTGCATTCCGTTCGGTAGATTTGCCACTTGGGTCACCAATTATACCGGTAGCTCCACCAACCAAAGCAATCGGATGATGACCGGCACGTTGAAAATGAAGCAAACCAATGATAACCAATAAGTTTCCGATGTGAAGACTGTCTGCAGTTGGATCAAATCCAGCATAAATGCTTTGTGGCGATTCAGTTGTAATCTCTTCGATTTTGTGTCTAAAAAATCAGGTGGAATTAGAAACATGCACACTTCCACGATGTTATCAAAACAAACCTTGAATCCGGTGGAAAGACTTCTTTAACGAAACCTCTATCGAAGAGATTTGTCACGGATCTTGTGGCAAATGTTCGCACCGCATATTTTCTACTCAAGGCCGACTGCAGTCGAATCACCCTTAAAATCATCATTTACAGAATGGAAAACAGTTATTTCACAATCAAAAACAAAATACTGGCAAAAGACTTAAAACATTTTAGGTTAGAATACTATAAATACTGTCACTTATTGAAACGTTTCGACTTCGCCGCGTTCCGAATTTCCATGCAGAATTTGAAAAAAGGTTGGAATTCATGAAAGTAATTACGGATTTGTGTGTAAAAAAATATAACTGGATTAAAAAAATGAAGAGAATTACAATCTCCTCGAATACCATTGGAAACTATAACGTAATTTTCTTTAAAAACATCCCTATCAAAGACAAAGAACACTAAAAACGGTTCCAAACGATTTGTTATCGTTCCCGATTCGCCATATGTTTTTATAGCAGTTTGAAGTGTGACATAAGGCAACCATAGAATGGTTTGCATGTGTGTGCGCGCTGTTTGTTGTTCTCCCGCACGCACACATGCACACCAGCCAACCCAAAATCGAACGATTGAACAGTGTGCACACGAACACACTGCTGTCGTACCTGTGTATTCATGGTTAATGCGTATTGTTCGTACTGACGACACAAAGAAACCATCGACACACAAACACATGGAATACACACCAAAACACTGAGTTGCCATAAAAAAAAAAAACGTTCATGTTCTGGTGTTGCTGCTATTTGCTGTATCCATTGTTACTTCATTAATCAGTCAGAGTTTTTGTCTTTGTGTAATAAATATCGCCTCTTCGCCATATCGCGTGTGTACGAGAAAATATTTTGCAAAAAAAAAAAACGAAAAAAATTCATTTGTATGTATCCAAATATTGTGTAAAAAAAATTTTTCGTGGTGACTGTTTAATGCAGTCATCAACCGAAGAGTCGAAACAAGAACAAAAAAATCTGGAAGGAAAATAAGTCCATCTTTTTTTTCTGATCACGGAATTCCCACATAGTTATTTCATTGTCCACTCGACCTACAGACGATTACTTTGTGTTCTTCTATTATTATTTTTTCTACGTTCGATTTTGAATTTGTGTGTCTCAGTGCAAGAAAAATAAAAGTCTTTGGTGTGCACGCGTTTGTGGTGGTGTTTTCACATTGGCACATACGGAATTAAATCAAACAGAAAAGCGAGTGAAGTGAGAACAGAGCTAGAGAAAAGAAAAATCAAAACGAAGTTTCACAAAACTGGAAGCAATACGGTCGTCTATTGACTTGGTTGGTGGTTTGTTTGTGTTGTGTTTTGGTGTGCATAGTGAATTGCAAAGTGTTTGGGAGTGTAGCTAATCGCGTGGAAGGATCCCGTTTTTTTTTTCTGTTCGAACCGAAAGAAGCAAAAAATAAATCATAGTATCCAAACCTAAAAATAAATAACAAAAAAAAAAACACACACACACACACAGACAAACACAAAATGCAGGCTAATGATGGTGACGATGGTTGGGCCGCCAACATCGAAGAACAGTATATCGAAGCAATTGAACGACAGCAACCCAACTATGAAGCTCAATACTTAAGTGAACGCGATAACTGCATCCGAAATTTATTTCATAATTTTCAAGAATCAGCCACTTCAATCGCACAGCTCTACAGAGGTAAATAGACAATGTCTGGCATGCTCCAAATTGCAACCAATTTAAATATTTCTACTTTCAAGTGTCGACAGAAAATAGATTTTTAGTTCCTTGTGAGTTTCATTTCTTTTTTTTTTTGCACTGTATTCACTGTGCTGTGGCATTTGTGTATGCGTGATTTCGGGTGCATGACGAAATCGGTTTGTTCAGCGAGAAGTGTCAACGAATGAAATATTTCACTTTAACTGGTTTCACATCCATTCAATTTTTTTTTCTTCTGTCGGCATTTCGAAGGGTCACCGAGAGTGTAATCCTTTCACAGTATTCGCCACATTCAATTCCGTACATCAAGCGAAAAGAATGAAACGGCAGACATTTTGTTATTTCAAGTGTACGGCTAATTTTGATGACCGCAAAGTGAATTGAATGAATACGGAAATGAAAATACATAGTCTCAATAGCAATCAATCATGACGTTTATGGTAAAATGAGATTATTAAAATAGCAATATTTTGAAATGGCTACTCAATAATGTGCATTAGAAGACAGACTGATGCGATCAATGTATCGTTGGAGATCCGAATTCGACTCGTTCGCCTCGCAAATCACATTTCCTGCAAATGAATCGCAATGAATTGCAAATCATTACTAACCTTTGTCATTTTCATGTATGGCGTCGCTTGTCACACCGTCGCAATTTTTCGGGTGAATTCATTAGCAGTAGCCTTAATTGATCATCATTTAATGTGAAGTAAAATGAGCTATTTTTAACGATTTTTATACTACTTTTTCTGTTGCTCTCACGTCCTATTGTGTCGATTTTGATGTTGTCGAACATCATCACACACGGTGTACACTGTGTCTCAATATTGAAACAAAGTCATTTGAAACAACACTTTGCCGTCATTTGAGTGAATTGAAGGAGTGGCATTTTTGCATGACATAGTTTTTTGGGGTTTCACCTTATTTTATATTTCTTCGGTTTTACTGTTAAACCGAGCACAAAAACACGGATGTGTCTAAATGGTGATATCCTTTATGTTTTCTATTTACGACAAACAGATAGAATAAATTCGAGAGAAACAGGTGCTTTGTGGATTCCATTTCAAACTGCAGCTGGTACTGTTACTACTTTATACAAAGGTACGTTTTCATTGAAATGAGAAAAACAGCAATATTTTGTCAATATTCTTGCATTTTCTAAATATTATTTTGTTTTTAAAACAATGTTTTATTTTCTCTCGCTCTCTCTCTCCCTCTCCCTCTTTATCTTCCCGAATATTTTCATAACAATCAGAATCATGTGATGGAATTCGTCGTTCAAATGAATTAGCAATGAACACTGGATACCAACGTCGCACACGTGAAATTGCTGACTGGGCCCGCAGCAAGCGTCGACGCTACATTCGTCGCGAAGATTTGCTCGCCTATTTAGCTGGAAAATCGTCACCACCATCCGGTATGATACACGTCACCCGTTTGTCACCACAGCATTTGTACACAAATACACAACAAGCAAAACCATTGCACAGTCAACACATCGGGCCCGGTTCACCAACGTCAGCTCATCAGATGCAGCCACACAATGAACATCATCATCTGCACAGCGGCGCCACGTTTGTGTCATCGATGGACTCGGATTTGCATACGTTCAAGGAGGCCTTAGCTCGCCGTTCACGGTTAGTATCAAGCACATCCATACCGCATGTACACATCACCACTTGATTGCACGTTTTAATTAAATTTACTTGCTTTTGTTGTCGTTTCACCTACAGAGCTCCAGAGTTGTATGCATTTGTGGCCGGCGAGATAGCACGTAACTCAAGCAAGCGACCAGCTAGTCCATTAGATGTAAATATGGATGTTCAAAATCTTTGCAGTAAGAGACAACGTTTCATGTAAAAAAGAAAGAAAACAAAATCAACAATTTCTCAACACAATCAATCACACACACACACACACACAAACATGCCCGAAGTAAACAGCAACAGCACACATCAATCTCCGGATACGTATAACTAGAAATTATTGATACCAGAGTAACATGATAATTCAACGCAATGATGATGATGATGATGATGATAAAATGGATTCGAAGAAATTCACTTTCGAATTATATTCTATTATAGTATATGCAAAATGTTTAAGCATAGAAACCAAGCAACAGAATAAGAATAATAAAAACGAATCATCAGGTCAAAACTAAAATATCAAAAACAAGATAAACTAAAATAAAAACGCTACAGATTCGGATGAAATGTAACTGAAAAAATGAAATGAGAATAATCATTAATGTTATTGTCATACACAGAAACACAGCAAACACCTCGTTATCAAATTGAATCTTGTTTTTTTTTCAGATTTCCTTTTTCTTTTGATATAAAGCTATAAGAATTTTCATTATTATTTCCCTTTTTGTATGCATTCGAAAGCAATTTACTTACATAATTATTCACTATGATATTATGGCAAGTGACAGATATAATATTTAGACATTTGTTAAAATGAAAAACTTTTTTCACAAAATGGCAAAATTTATTAGACACATCAATTATTTTCCCTTTGTTTGATTATTTTTTTTTTCTCTTTTCCCTCTTTCGTTACGTTTACTTTTATTCATATTTTTGCCTCAATTCAACAATTTTGTTCATTGTTTTTGCAACACACAGTTGTTGCGCTCGCTTCTATCGTTCTTCAGGATTTCAAGTGAATAATGATCAGTTTACTTATATACAACTACATGAAAACCAAAATCGATAAGCTAGGGTTACTCACTACGAAATTGTAGTAATTTTTTTTTTTGCTTAGTCTTTTATTGCAATTACTATTAAAAAATGAACTTACGTGTATTAATTTACAACAAGTGAAAAAGAAAGAAGTGGAGAAAAGTCGAAACAAATAAAAAACCAATATTTTTGCCAATTATCAAACAATTTATTCGCTTGTTTTATTTAAATTCGTTTTTTCGTAGCAATTATTTGTTGGTTTTGTACTCATTTCATCTTGAATTGAGCTGAAGATACTTCTCCGCAATGATTTTGAACGTATTTCTTTGAAATTTTGAAAGTGATAAATCGAAACGGTCTTGACTTTAGAAAACGATATCAAATTGGATGGCTTGCAAGTATCTAGACATCATATGGTTTGTCTAAAATCAAGAAAAAAAATACCTTTGTGAATTGATCTCATATCTTAATTTAATAAGTTGATATCAGAAAAGATCAATTGGTGCTGAATATACGTTATTTGGCAAGCAATACCGTAGGTTTAATACGTAAAATTTAAGGCAAAATGTCGTAGTTTCCAGACAAAGTCAAAGGGTAAGGTATCGAGTAAACTTTGCTTATTAAATTATTAAATTTCTTTTTTCCCTCAATTTTGTACGTTTTTTTGGTACTCCACATCTGCTCAGGGTGCCTAGATACATGAAAATTTCAAGCAAATCAAAAACTGCAATCTTTTCGAATTATAGCACATTATTTATTTATTATTTATTGCAATAAACGCATCAATTCAAAGGCATCAATTTACAAAATAGTGAAAAAGACAGAGAATTCAAATCGGGAAAAAACTATTTTCTATTGTCGACCAAACTAACAGCTAGTTTTATTTAAATTTTGGATGCTACAAAAAATATGAAGAAAAAAAAATCGGATGGTGTCTAGTTACTATTAAATATACGTTGTACATCTTAGTCGTGACATGATCACAAATTATTTAAAACTAGGGGCTAAGCATTGACTTGACATAATTTATTTACAGCAGCCTTCAATCGTATTCATGGCTTGACTCACGAGTTCCGATCAAATTCTCACGTTCCTCATCGTCTCCGTCAAAGTCGTCCGTATTCGATTTGGCAGATGACAAGGGCATCGACACAACGGTGGCTAAGCTACGATTCTTGGCTTTTGTGTTGTGCAATCCTCGTGTTAGTCCACTTTCAGTCAGTCTTTAAGTTTAAATGTGGAAAATTTCATGTTAAATATATTGAGAAATTCGATAAATTTTGCCTGGATAAAAAAATACACGGTTTGCATACTCACACTTCGACCTCATCATCTTGTTCATCATCGCTTTCAACTGCAAAGTATGGATGACTTGGTACTGGTCGGAATTTGTATGCAGTCAACGCGTAAAATATGTAAGTAGCGGCTTCTTTGAACATTTCATCGAGCCAAACGTATTGGAACGGCACGGTTGCTTTCAACAGGTACACAATAATGCGGGTAAAGTAGATGTAACATACAATCATTATGTAGAATTGTCGGAATAATCGCAATTTCTTCAAGCTGGTGGCCGCTTTACCATCAGTCGACGAGGCATCCTGCAAATGTCGTATTGACCTGTAGAAAGACAGTAGTGAATCATAACATTGGTTCATGTCATTTCTGAAATAATTCGATTCGCCTACCATACAACTGGAAATAAAATCGCACCACAGCATATCAAATCCACCAAAATGAAAATATCCGTCCATGTGGCACGTTTGATATCGCCTTCTTCACTTTCATCTATGATTATCTCGGCTACATTGGCCAAAATCTGCAGCGGAATTACAATCATAAACAATTTTTTATCCTTATCCGCTAAGATATGTTTGATAAATGTCCAACCGGTGCCGATTAAAACAATTGTAATAAAAAGTACGGCTCCCTTGAGTCTATGAAAACAAATAAAAAGGAATTTATTCGATCTCGTCATCGTTTGCAAATTGACTCATACACATCTCTTTGCAAATTACAACACGTCCACTTACAAATGAGTCACATAGTATAAAATGGCCCACGCTTCAATGTGTTCGCCTTCTTTGTCGATGTAATGGTAGTTGATCGAATGGAACATTAGCGAAAGTGATTTTAAAAAGACCAAAACACTCATTATGTAATGAATTCGGAACACGGTGTGGCTGCAATGACATTTCAGAACAGGTTTACATGAATGTCATGGAAAAATATTAAAAATGTTCAATTCTTACGTGCTCTTTTTCAACAGGAATAACCAAAATAAGCCTGATAAAAAGAAGATCAGTGACATCATGAAATAAAGCTCGGGCAATGGCATCTCACCAGCCGATAAGAAATTACTTTTGTTGGCCTCTTCGATATCAATCTAAAATGCCGAACATCAATCAAATCCATTATTTTATTCATTTTAAATGGAGTTGTGTCTTAAAAATAGATTTTTAGATAAGAAAAGATATCGTTGGCCATTAACTCACCTCAAAATTGAGTGCAAATAACTCGCGTTGATAGTTTGGACAGGAATGGAAGTATAAATTATACAATCCCTCTTCTTGCTCGGTTAGAACATACATCACAAACTGCAAACAAATGAAAGTTTGTTGGCTTGAATTCGGCAAGAAATACCATCAAATTAATGTGGTGAAGAGATATGCTCACCGAGAAATTGTAATAACTGAAACCATCCATTTTGGCGACGGTCATTGGCATCTTGATTTGATTGCACTTGGCATTTACCGCTTCCTCATGTTGGCCTGGTTCAACTGAAGGGGAAAAAGACATGCTAATTTATCCGTTGCAATGAAAAGATGCCCATGAATCGAAAGAAACACTAACCCGAACGTTTACGACGTTGATTTTCGAGCATCATTCCCGGCATGGGATTATCTTCGTCTCGTCTTGTTCCCAACAATTTTATTAGAATCGATCGATCTTTGTAAATATGAATGTTGTGCCAGTCCTTCGAACAATTCACAGTCACTCTTTAGGGAAATGAGAAATGAAAGAATAATTGATTCGAACACTTCAATTCGTTGAAACAGTGCTTTTTTTTTTAGTCGTACTGTAAATTTTTAAGATCCATGTTGAGGTAGGCAATGGGTCCATTGTGTTGCATTGATGCTGGCTCCTCAAGAATACATTTATCTTGATGATTATCGATGAATGGATTCATTGCATCGCTTCTCGTTTTGTCCAATGTTAAACCGAACTAAAAACAATGCGAATTGCGTTAGAAGAAATGAATTCAATTGAACAGTTGTTTGAGCTATTACCGTTTCAACTTCGCGCCCATCATCGACACGGAAATTGTATAAATTCACATCCAAAGTGCCACCTTCGAAGAATCCAAATGTGCTAAGTGCAATATATCTCCGTACATCACCCTGGACGAACGCAATAAATAATATTAATTAGAATCAAATAAAAGGTCATGATACATTTTTATCGATTATTTCCACTGGCCAATTAAGTCGTACACTCAATTGTTATTGCCCAAATTTTTTTTATTTACCTCAACTTCCAAATGATGTTTGCGTCCAACGCAAAATTGCAAGCCCACAGCTACCAAAAATGTGATTTTCAGCAACATTTTTGCCAATTAAATCACGACCAAATTTATACTTCACAATCTCTCTCTTGTGCTACTTTCGTTATTATGACACTGATTTCCGAGCAAAAGTTCTATTTTTTCTCGAAAATATCATTATTTTTTAGGTTATCTGTGCCAATTCCGATGATATCATTAAAAACAATATTAAAAATCTTTATTTGCACTACAAATCCAATTCCAATTACAAAAGAAAAATACGTATTTCTTGTCGCTGTTTTCACTATCTCTACTGTTGTTCACTTGTCTTTACTTACGTCGACTGTCAATGTCGTGTGTAGCATACAAAGCAAATTTTGACAGTTCATGCATTGGAGTCGCCACTGCTGCGACGACTGTTGAAGTGCTATAAAAATCGAATATGTGCGAGTGACGTCATTCAATCAATGTGTTTAATTTGATGACCGTTGCGAAAAAAAAAAAACTGTTGAACTGAAATGCTCGTTTTAGACACAAATGATGGCAAAATTCAAGACAACTGTCATAAAAGAGTTCACTGAGATGACAAATTGGAAATGTGTATGTTTGATGTACTTCTCAAACGAAAAAGTTTTTTTTTTAAACAGAGATTTAAACGAGGCAATTAAATAGCTAATATTAATTCGATTTCGATTTCGTACAAATAAATGTGATTCATTGACAATTACTTAATGGATTTTAATTATTATCAAAAGTAAGACTCATAATCGTCAATTTTTTTTTTCATCTAAGTTTTTGAATGAAATATTAAAGTCTATGGACCGAATAGCAATTAGTCAAAACAAAAGTCCATAAAAACTTAAACATTATCTTAAGTTTATTTATAGATTCTTGATGTTTTTCAAGTGAACAATTGAACAAAATTTTATATGAACCAGGACAAACAAATTCCCTCAGAATATTTTAGTTTAGTGCAACATAAAGTTTTTTTTCATATGGAGTTGTTGTTGTAAACTCTATATAAAAAAAATTCCATGTTGCACTTTGAAACTAAAATATTCCGAGGGAATTTGTTTGTTTTAACGGTTCATATATCATAATTATGAAAACACAAGATTTTTTGAAATACTCACTTGAAATTGTTCAACATTTCGTTATCGCACGAAAAGATGATAGGAGTAATCGCATATAGAAAAGTGCAAGAAGCAAAAAGATATTGCGGTTGTCCATTAAACAGAATAAAAAGAAGAACATCAATTTTTGCATTGTAAAAATTTCATGGAGAATTTTTTTATTTTGAATTAAATTCGGAATGTGTCGTAACGCTTGGAATAAACGCATAAAAAGGCAATTTTATCAAATTGAAAAGAAAACTTCAATAAAAAAACGTTCTATTGTTATAAAACGAAGTTGAAATTTTGAAAAATTATAATGTAGTTATGTTTGACATACGGTTTGATAAAATGTTCCCTTTTCAATTATAATAACGGATAAAAACGAGTGTGATGAAAAGCTAAATTAGAAATTTTCAAACGATCTAAACTGATATTAATGGGTTTTGAAACATCTTTTTGAAAAATGAAATATTTAAACTGGGCTTAACGAAAATCATTACTTCCATTCCGAAATTAAAAAATGTTGTTTGTGTACATGGTGCATGCAAAGTATGTTCAATAATGAAGCCTTGCACCGACGGCTGCAAGCCTATCGGCTTTATTATGGTCTTGGTTGCCAGAATGTCCGGCAACATGTTTGAATTCAACATCCATTCGGGGATAGCTATGAATAGCAGAATCCAATGCTTCGTAATCGCTACGATTTTTAATCGGTTGTCCATCATAAAGACTGCGCCAGCCATTCGTTTTCCATTGTGGAAGGTGTTTTGTTACCGCGTCGTAAACATTTTTCGAATCGGTAATCACACGCAATTTGTTTATACCCAATCGAGCTGCTTGATGAATGGCAACAGTTGCACCTTGGATTTCCGCAATGTTGTTCGTAGCACCTCCTCGCGATTGCCCAGATTGGTTGCTATAGCACACAGAATAAATGAATATTCAAAAAATCATTTACGAATTCGATCAATTTAAATTGTGTCGGTGAGTATAAAAATGGGAATATAGAAGTGTTACAACTGAAGCGCAACATGAAATTTATTTCTTAAAAACGGTACATGAATCCTCGCTTCAATAGAAGCGTAACCTGAAAAATGTGAATTTTGAATGTAGTTTTTTTGTGTTTTTCGCGAAATATGTTAGAGATAATGGGTTAGTATGGTCAGCAAAGTTTTGGGACTTGACCAATTCTATAACTTTGTCGAAGATAACAAATCGTTTACTCTTATCATTTTCGCGAAAAACACAAAAAACTACATTCAAAATTCACATTTTTCATGTTACGTTTCTATTGAAGCGAGGATTCATGTACCGTTTCTAAGAAATAAATTTCATGTTGCGCTTCAGTTGTAACACTTCTGTATTCCCATTTTTATGCTCACCGATACAATTATAATGAATCAATTCTAATCTATGAGCTTAAATTTAATTCCCTTGATTTTTTTTGTTATTAGGTTGAATTGAAAATGGATGCAAAAACACATATATGTATGTATGTTGGACAGAAAACAATGCGAACTGGTATTCATTTTTGGATCAAAAACATACGAAAAATAAATCAAAAATCATATAATTACTTATTATTATTGGGGCCCCAAAAAATGCCATAACCAGCAGCAGATTGAGGTGTGCCTGGGTTTAGACAACAACCGTCTACATAGACGTTGGTATAGCCTTCAGAATCAACTATGAAATTGCGATTCATATTTCCTGAAAAAATATTCACTTCACAAAATTAAGAATCTGCACAAAAATTAAATACAAAAACAAAGCACTTTTGATTTTATCGCAAGCAAACGTCTTAACGCTATGAGCATTCGAACTGTTGTGGAGCAACATCCGAAATTGAATTCTCTTTGAATACACACAGATTCGCAACGTTTTTTCCAGTTGTGAATTTTTCCGAAGGTTCTAGCACATTCGACAGAAAAAAAAATGCGAATGTTCTGGTACACTAATACATACGAATACCGGCAGAAATGTGCTGTTATCTGAGTATACATAAACATACTCGTTAGTTGTCACAGTGTGCAGAAGAGTTGTGTGCATTAAAATTTGGCTTAAGGCAGTGGATACACGCAAATTATTATTTTCATGCAATGCTCTTGAAATTGCATCTAGCTAATACCGACAAAAACGCAGAAATTCAAAACCGAACACATACTTACAGACACATGGATGTAGTTGACCGCTAGAATGGACTTGTTACGAGGCGCCTTATGTATATGTATCTCGTAGTCTAAATAGCAGAGACTGTATTTTTGTTGTTGAGTAGGCGTGAGAGAATGTGCTCAACATGTACACAAAAAATTGCAAACCAAAAATAGACATAGAAATGGCCTACAATTAATTATTTCATTCCAATATGGTGCCAAACATACAAATGGAGTAATAAAAGTTTCATTTCTTTTTTTTATTATAAAATGGAGAAATTAACAGAAACACGGATTTGGGCTAGTATATAGGTGTAGTCACACTCTTTTTGTCACGCAAACATCGTAAAACATATGAATCATTGGTGCAAAGCCGGCGTCTAATCAGAGAAGATTATGATTTTTCAGATGTTTTGGAAGGAGAAAGACTCTTTGAATTATTTTAGCCTAATTTGGGTGGATTTCAGCATTTGAAACCGTTTGCAATCAATTGAAATTGAAAAAAAAGAACTTAGGCATTTAAACTGAACACACGATGACGATATATTCGTGGATATTGGTGATTCAGAAGTTTTTTTTCAAATACTTAAGTTGTCTCGCCTAAAAAACAATAAAAAATCCCATTCACAAAATGCACAAATTAAAGTCATTCAAATATTTATACTTTACCGATCATTTAATTTAGGTGAGTGTTGATATCAACAGATTTTGAATCATTTATGGAATGATGCACATTTCCTTTCAAAAATCTCAATCATATATTGTTCAAAGTTGAATGAGTTGTTGTTCTATGGCAAAATGAACAAGAAAAAGCTTAACAAAAAATGAAAAGTATTCTAAGAATAATACTACTGCTCCTCTGACTCGTATGCCCACCGGCAGCTTAAGGGTAACGGCCGTGTACAGTAAAAACACCAAAATCGAACAACAGTACTATCGCTGATGATGAATAAGCATTCGGCATGTATACTATATTTGATGATCGTGTGCTTTTCTCCGTATGATTCATTCAAGTACTTACACTTACATTTTGATTAAATGTGCACTTTAATTATAGTTAATGCTGAAGTCATTGTACTACCAGAGGTTCCTCTCGTGATCCAAAAAAAAAAAACACATTCATATGTTGCGGCGAAACTGTCTTTTTAGCAGAATGTCATCATATAAATGGCCACATTAATTCTTGCGTCGGAGAATTTGAGTAGCAGCGAAACTTTTGTGTGGTTTTGAGGGGTTTGAACAAACATTTACCTCTTTTTACGATGCAAAAGTGATTTGCGCACCATCATCAGCAACGCAACGAAAAAAAAAATAACGATTCAAGTATTCCATTAGTGGGAAACATTTCATATGTGCCATTCGAATTTTGTATTGACAATGCCAATTTGCTAATTGGACTACTTTTATCTTCGGTTTGTTTATAGATTCTCTTGCGATTTTTCCACGTACTAATGCCCAAAATCTGAAAAAATGCACCACATATTATCGCATATACGTATATCGACATATATCACTGTGACTGCAAAAGAAATACTTACTTCATCCCCTTCAACATTTTATCATCGTAGATAGAGATGATAGGAGTAATCGCATATTCAAAAGTAAAAAAAGCAAAAAGTTTTCGCGGTCGTCCATTGAACAGAATAAAAAGGAACATCGATTTTTGCATTGTAACAATTTCATGGGAAATTTCTACTTTTATTTTTATTTAGATTCGGAATGAGTTGTAACACTTAAATTCAAAAATTCCATGTTGCTTAGTATCGAGCGTGGCTCTTGTATTCACAGCTAGCTATTTCTCGCAGTTTTACACTGCCAATATATTCCCTTATGGAGATTTTGGTTTTGTTTATTTAACTTTTTTTCAACAAGTCTGCCTATATCAACGCATTGCCACTGTACATAGTATATGTCCATTAGAAGTGTGTAGTGAAAATGTAAAAGATAGACAGATTTGTTTACAATCAACGAAAATCCCAATAAGGAAATGTATTGCGATGTAAAACTGCGAGAAATAGCTAGCTGCAAATACAAGAACCGCGTTCGATACTAAGCAGCATTGAATGTCTGCTTAAATTACACGTATATGAAGGCAACTTTGTGAAAAAGTCAAATTGAAAGAAAAATTTCAAAAGAAATTCGCCCTACTGTTATGAGAAAAAAGTTTCAATTTTGAAACAATCATAGCATAACTATCAACAAAATGTGGTTCGATTACATGGCTCTTTTTCACTAGATCAGTCTTATCTTAATTATATAATGGATAAAAAAAAGAGTCTAATGAAGAACCTAAAAATTGTAATTCCAAAACGAATTGCTTCAACTGAGATTATTTTCTTAACTTTGGAAACTCTTTTTAAACAAAGAAATATTCAAACTGGTCATAACGAAATTGTTACTTTCATTCCGAAAATATAATCGAATGGATGCTCAAATCTTTGCAGATGTGCTTAAATGACTTCGGGAAGTTTGTCCGATCAAGATTTGAAGTTTACTATTTTAAACCAGATTTTCGAAAGCTCAATACTCAAAAAAAAATCGTTCTTAATGTAAAAACACCACAATCAAAAACACATTTCTCGCTAACACTTTTGCACATATATCAAGATTTAGGTATCCATCGAAATAATTTTTGTGTGTGATACACGTGAAATATGTTTAATTATTGTAATGGAGTCGAGCTCCTTCAGCAGCCAATCGATCAGCTGCATTATGATTTTGGTTGCCGGAATGTGCTTCGACAAGTTGGAATTTTATGGCCACTTTTGAATTACCATGAATGGCCTTATCCAATTTCTCATAAGCAGCACGGTCTTTGATCGGCTGTTTGCTATGCCCCTCGTATAGCCTGTGCCAGCCATTCTTTTTCCATTGCGGAAGGTGTTCAGTTACCGCATCGTACACGTTCTCAGAATCAGTAACCACGCATAATTTTTTAATGCCCAACCTAGCAGCTTGTTGGATAGCAACGGTGGCACCTTGAATTTCTGCCACATTGTTCGTGGCATTTTTGCGAGATTGTCCAGCTAAGTTACTATCAAATATGAAAAATAAATCAAAATGAATATTTAGAATCATTTATAACAAAGTAATGGTATTTATGATGTTTGAGTTGGGGTTTAATTCGATTGTTCTTTTTTAGAAATTTGAAAGAATGAATGCAAGAAAATTTTTGTAGGAAAACAAAATTGGGAAAGTGAATTATAAATCAAATAATTACTTTTTATTATTGGGGCCCCAAAAAATGCCATAACCAGCAGCGGATTGAGGTGTGCCTTGGTTTAGACAACAACCGTCTACATAGACGTTGGTATAACCTTCACGATTTACTTCAAATTTTTTACTCATATTAACGGGCGCAATATTCACTTCACTGTGCAAAAATTAAACGTAAATGTATTCACAAGTCACTTTCTTCCAGGAGGAGATGCTTCTTTGTCTCAACGCGATGAACGTTCAAACTGTTATAAGCGCAATATTCTGAACTGAACTGCATTTTATAATACAGAAAATTTGCAACGTCTTTTGTCCGTTGTGAAATTCATCAAAACTTCTCGTAATTTAGCTCCATCGGAAAACACTAGCGAATATTCTAGTGCAATACTATACAAATAGCAACGCTGTATAACAAATTGGCGTGCGGCTAATGTATACACGCACATTAAAGTTTATTCACATGTTGCTTTACGCTAAACCTGCATCAATGCCAACGACATACGCAGAGATATAGAACCCAACATAAACATATAAAAGAGAGATACATAGAGCGTGCCACAAGCACCGGTACAATACAGTGCGGCTTATATACATCTCGTAAACTAAATAGAAACGAAATGTGTGTTCAAAGAATACACAGAAATGACTATACTTGTTTTACTGCCGTAGTATAGATGACTTTTCATGTCAACGTTCTTTTCAAACGATTCGTAATGTTTGCTGTTGCTGTTGATTCTTAAACTAAAATGCCCAGACCGATGCAACTCAAGTACACAGATTTGCAACGACTTGTTCCGGTTGTGAAATTCATCGAAGGTTCTGGAAAAGTCATATAAATAGAAAACAGACAGGAAAGATTTGGAACTCTTGAATATATACAAATACTGGCAGACCTATATTACTTTTCCGTACACAAAGTGTCAAGGGAAAGTATAGGAATTGGTCCCGAAAACTTTTTTCGCAAAATAAGCCTAGATCATCATGAAAACTCATGAAACGCGTAGAAAACCACTTTTTGAGACACTTTTCCGTTCGTGTGCCGTCGTCGTCGTCGTCGTCGTCGTAGTTGTTTGTTAACACGATAACTCAAAAAATAATTGAGATAATCAAAATCTGGAAATGCCAAAAGTTTTTAATTCAAAAAACTTAGTTTAAGTTCGAAGATGAGCCATTTTTGATTTGATCCTGGGGTACTTGCCCTAAGAAAAACCTCTAAAAATTTACACTTTTGTATGGGAGGTACCTGTAAATCGACTCCGATTGGCTTCAAACTTTCTGGGAATTCATTTTTTGGGAGAAAAATAAGATTCTGAAATTTTGAAACCAATCGGAATCGATTTACGGGTACCTCCCATACAAAATTTTGACTAAAATTAACGATTTTTGGACAATTTTGTATGGGAGGTACCCGTTAATCGATTCTGATTGGCTTCAAACTTTCTAAGGTTTCATTTTTTGGAGAAAAAATAAGATTCTGAAAGTTTCATGTTGATCGCATTTGCAGAAGTTTTCCAAGAAAATTTTGACAAAAATTGAGGGCCAAAAACCAAACTTCTGCAAATGCGATCAACATGAAACTTTCAGAATCTTATTTTTCCTCCAAAAAATGAAACCTTAGAAAATTTAAAGTCAATGAGAATCGGTTTACGGGTACCTCTCATACAAAATTGTGGAAATTTTAGTTAAAGTGACCGATTTTTCACTTTATTTTTATTATTATATTTTCACTGCCTTTATTTCAAGAAAATTCACAAAAAATAACCAAAATTACATACGGACAACGCAGGCCAACGGTATGGAAAAGTTCGGGATTACCAATGTAATTCTTTTCATTTTGTTATGTGAGTGTTATTCGCCGATCCGTATGTAAATTTATTCATAGTAAGCACAAAACATTTCAACTGTTTTTACGATCGTCGACTTTTATTTGTTTTTTTTTTTAACAACAAAGAAATGCATATAAATGGGTGACTCATCATGAAGCTTAAACATTTTTACTCAAACTGGACTATTTTACCCCGATTATTCGAAATGGTATAATACAATTTAGAATCTATTTCAATTAAAATGAAAAAATGTAATTTTCTTTGGTGTTACTGAGTGACATGAAATACGTTGAAAACAATTAACGAAAAATCCATGTGTTCTACAAGAAAAGTGGTCGAAATGGTCGCTCTCCTTGGACAACAGCATTGTTCCGTACGCAGTAATTGATCACTCAATGAAGCAGCGGACTTGTCGGCACACTCGTGGATTTAGCATTTCACTTGCTTTGGCGATTCGTGAGTTGCCAAAGCATCATATATGCAGTGCACTCGATATTTAACGTGAAAACCTATATTCGGTACATCGAAGTTGGCCGAAGTATGATTTCGTTTGCGCGTAGCGCGTAAGCAATTCACTTGCGATATATAGTATATAGAGATTCACGTTATATCGCAAGTGAATTGCTTACGCGACGCGCAAACGAAATCATACCTCGGCCAACTTCGATGTACCGAATATAGGTTTTCACGTTAAATATCGAGTGCACTGCATATATGATGCTTCGGCAACTCACGAATCGCCAAAGCAAGTGAAATGCTAAATCCACGAGTGTACCGACAAGTCCGCTGCTTCATTGAGCAACGTTCTCCAATTTTCATCCAAAGTGAGAGTATGAGGGTCGCCAACAATGATCAGTAAACATTTTGCACGAGTGATCACGACATTTGGTCTCTATGGAAGGAAGAGAAGAGGCACAAACAAACGATAGAAGAAAAAAATTGAATGAAGATCAATGATAAACGTATTGAAACAAAAGCGTTATAGTTGGAATAAAATACAGATGTCTTACGCGTGGATCTTTGACGAATCCAAGAATTCCACCGGTGCGTACAGTTGATACAATCATTACAGGTCTTTCTTGACCTTGAAACACTTCTGCCGTGCCAATGGTAATGTCTTTGAAGCCATTTTTGTGACAAGCTCGTGAGATGACTTTTGTTTGGAGTTTGTATGGGGTCACAATCCCAATATCAGCTTGAGAAACCGGCTTCTTGTTGACATCCACCATCAAGAGTGCTTTGACATAGTCGATGACAACATTCACTTCCTTCAAGTTGAACATGCTTTTGGAGTGAAAATGAAACAATTCAAATATTAAAATCATTTGTTGAATAATGTGAAAAGGATGCGCTTACCTAAAATCTTCTGTTGATTTTCAGCAGAGTCCTTGAACCGACTTGAATATGATTGGAAACGACTTGCAGGGCAGAAGTTTCGAACCAATAAACCAATTGGTGGTATCTGAAAGTATTGCGGAATTATTTTTCTGGCCACACACGGTCTACGCACTACTTCGCTTAACGAACCTAGCGATGCTTTGGCCTCCAATTTATTTTCATAGAATAACGCATTTGGAATAGCCAGGATGGCTGGATGCGAACGATAGTTTTTCACCAGTTGCGTGATATACCGTCGATTATATTGTCCCGTCAAAGGATTTCGTTCGTAAAGTTTCCGATTGAACAGCTGTTCCAGAAACGAAGTTTTAAAACCGAGCTTTACAGCATTCTCCGATTTTGTAACCGCGTCCAACTGCTTAGGATCACCGGCCAGCACGACACTGCTGTGTACTTGATTGCGCGATGTACAAAGACCTGATAAAAATGCATTTGAATTTCCAAATCAGTCCGATTAATTTCTCGCAAATTATACCATTAGTTTGTATTACAAAAAAATAATTAATCGTTTATTACCTGCAATTGGAATCATGGAAACAGTCTCGTGTGTGCTTGCACCTTCGTCAATAAAAATGTGAGAGAAGTGACTGGAGCTGTAGTAGTGTGCTTCGCGAGCTCTAGCTAAGCATCCGGCTGTAGTCAGAGTACAAATCAAAACTCGAAAGTGATACAAATACTTTAACGAAGGGAAATGGAATTCGCTTTTAGCCCAATTGCAAATCGGCTTCATGGTTTTGCTGATTTTACGGTGGTCATACGATTTGGCATACATTCGGTACATTTCGTCAGTGTGCAAGACTTTGATGAGACGTTCGGCGATTTCGTCGCATGCGGCATTCGAATTTGCACATACCAACACATGATCACTTGTTGATCGCACAATTTCTTCAATCGCAGCACATAGAGTCCCAGTTTTTCCTGTGCCTGTGAATTCGAATGGTCAGAAACAAAACATGCAAAATGTAATGAAAAATAAACGATTGCTGCATCAAGATATGAAATAACATACCAGCCGGTCCGAATAATATATACGGCAGTGAACCATTCTTTGCTTTGATTATATTTATGGCCGCCGCACGTTGTTCCTCGTTTAATTTCGCAGCCAATTGACCACTACAGAATATGAAAAATGAAATAAAAAAAAACGAATTCACAAATTTTTTCCAGAGAAAAATATTTAGAAAATATTCTTTCATACCTAAACGTATAGCTTCTCTCATAGAATAGCTCGTCGGTTTCATTAGAAAAGTGATTATATTTCGAGTTATTTATCAAATGATCGAATAAATTGTGAGTGTTAATCCATTCCAACACGGTTGATGTGAAAATTAATGTCGTATTGTTCGATTTCACAGTTGCGTATCAGGTAATCAACATTTTCTTGAGCGATTTCGACAAATAAAAAATCTTTGTTGCATCCTCTGACCTGACCTTGAATTGAAATGCCTGCCCTAGCTGGATTTGGCTTCAGAGTATCAATCTAGAATCGAATCGTCGACTGCTTCGACCATTCGAGATACTTTTTTCTGTAAACAAAGAAAAACACTTGGTTGAAATCGATTCAGTTTGCACACAACATTCAAATTTTATTCCACAAAAGCAGCTCATAATACTAGCTTATTTGCATATTACTTTATATTTAGATGTGCATTCGTGCAAACAAAGTAGTTGTACGGACATAATAACCCTGAAACGTATCTATTAGCGAAGCATTCTACTCACTTCATTTTTGATGAGAAATTCACGCTCATTGCCCGAGTATGACAACTTTATGTTCTGATGATTGAATTGAAGAAGGAAAATTGACTGTGAAGCCACTTCGAGTTGAACCATCTTGGTATAAGCCCCGATGTATTCATCTTCGTTCGTTCGAAACAGTGGCTTACGTTTGAGCAATCCCGATAGTTCTGGTGCAATATCACCGCCCAATGAGCTTTGATCTTTTTCAATTTTTAAAATTTCGATCGGTACATCAAAGGCCTCAAGCGGAGACATTTCCAATTTTCTAAAATTGTATCATTTTTACTAAAATTCTGCAAAGAAAAGTCCAAATATTGATTAGCTCTTACTTAGATTTGGCGAGTTTGAGATCAATGTTGAGTAAATCTTCATTTTGAATCCCAAGTTTTGATAAAAAATCAGACAGGGAGTCGTCATCGAATGCGACATCAGGATTATCGAAATAATCGAATAGGTATGACATATTTAAAACTTTAGGGAAAAATAAAACGTTATTTATTAGGTTAATTTGCTTGAAACAGTTCAATTTACTCAACGCAGTAAGAAAAATGATTTTACGATTTGTCACGCACGTAATAGATTTAAATCGAGATGAAATTCAATTTAATTCAAAATACAACTTTGTCGCACTTTGTTTTTTTTCAGTTTTATTTCCAATATTCAACAAAATATTTGAATAAACTAAATACTGAACACTTGAATATAAAGACTGCAAATATCGAGCACAGCGTATATTTTGATAAATCAATGGAAAATTGATAAAAATTGAATGGAATGATGCACAATATTTTGCGTTAACAAATGATGAAATTAATTTCCGTTAGGAGACACAGAGCTCGATACTACTTCAACGAATGTCGTTGCTGAAGTGAGCATTCGTTCTCAAATCGTTTGCTTGGATCAGCTTTGCTTGTGATCTACAGCGTAGGAACTCATTTGTGTTGTTATTTTCGTTTGTTCGTTGCGAATTTAAACGAAAATATTGCACCAATGTCTACTGTGATTGCATCAAGTCGTAGTCATCATGTCTCATGGAAGTCATGAATGTTTAATAATTATTGGTTTTCACTTTATTTAGACTGCACGATCGTTCGTTTGTACTGATGAAAGAGAAGACTTCTTTTGACTTCAAAAATGTTGACGATCACAAAACTGATTAGAGATAATGTCTTCGGCCTATAACTATTCCATATCGCTCCAAAATGACGTATTAATAAAAAAGAATTACAGTGGTAATCCCGAACTTTTCCGTACCGTTGGCATGCGTTGTCCGTAGGAACTTTTGGTTATTTTTTGTGAATTTTCTTCAAATAAAGGCAGTGAAAATATCATATTATACAAAAGTGTCAATTTTTTTGAGGTTTTTCTTAGGGCAAGTACCCCAGGATCAAATCGAAAATGGCTAATCATCGAACTTAAACTAAGTTTTTCGAATACAAAACTTTTGGCATTTCCAGATTTTGATTATCTCAATTATTTTTTGAGTTATCGTGTTAACGAACAGCTACGACGACAACGACGACAACGACGACGGCACACGAACGGAAAAGTGTCTCAAAAAGTAGTTTTCTACGCGTTTCATGAGTTTTTATGATGATCTAAACCAATTTTGCGAAAAAAGTTTTCGGGACCAATTCCTATACTTTCCCTTGACACGTTGTGTACGGAAAAGTAAAATGCATATGATCGGATTTGTATTCGTTCCTGGCACGAGAATTGACTTTGCACATTTTTTTTCCATTTGATAATAGAGTTAAAATGTTGCAAAGCTTATAATTGAAATTGAGAATTCTCAGAATACAGAAAACATAATAAAAATCGACGAAGAAAAGAAACCAACAACGATAAAATTGATATCATACTTATGCTTGCATACGCGAGCATGTTTTTCATCTACGCAAACCGCTCTTTTTCCATAATCTTACGCTCAAAACATTTTTTGTTTACTAATCAATGTTCTGCTGTCTTTCTTATTTCGAATGTATTTCAAAGTGCACATTTCAGTTTCATTTTAAACCACATCACATAAAACGACGCTTAATAATATGCACCGACCCATTTAATCGTGTATGATTGATAAAAATTCGTCGCATACATACAATATCAGTCAAAACAGCTCTTTATTATGAAATAATTGACTGCACACAGGAACGAGCTTGCAAATAATCAGCGATTAATTCATTTTTATTGCAATGAAATCAAAAAATATTCGTTGAGTCCAAAAGGCAATCATGTATAAACTCACTCAAAATTCTATTCTAAATTTTACTCAAGCATTCTGTTTTCACTCTCTGCACGTACCAAATATATTTACAGACAGTGCTATGAAATTCATTCATGCAAATAAAAGAAAAATTCCATTTGTTATGAATCAGAAGAGTGATGGAAAAAATCGATTGAATTGTGTAAATAGGCGTGCAATTTCAAAAAATCTTTTTTTTGATAGTTAATTGAAAGTGGCTTCGAGTAATCCAATTTATCCCATAGCTTTGTGTAAGTTATGGAGAAATATCGAGCTTAGAGTGAAAAGATAAAATTGCCGGCAAATAGACAAAGACACACGGAGACGAAGATTTGCAACACCTTGACCTGTTGTAAAATTCACTGAATTTTTTGCCAAAGACAGATCTAACAGATAAATAGAGGCAGTGTAGTAGGCTAATATTTACAAATACCGACACGAGCATTTACTGACCTGAATAACTGCAACATTGTGCACAAGATCTGTGTGTTTAAGTGATTACATGCATAATACTAGGTTTGTTCTATATTGTTTACATATGAGCTATGCGCTTGGTATTGAATTGAGCAAACGCCGGCGATATACGAAGAAAAACTAAAAAAAGATCGATAGAACGTATCACATCAGCGAATTCAATTTGATACGTCATATAGTATGTATACATCTCGTGAGCTAAATATAAAAAATACGCACTCAAAAGCACACGTCACGTTTGTCTCACTGCCTCAGTATTGACGATTTCACATTTCTATATTATCTTCGAAATAAGTACGTTTCTTTGGTCTACGCAGTGTATGTTGTACACTGTGTGGGGGTTGCAACAATGATTCACTTTGTACTTACGTACGTATGCAAAATATGCATTGATATACAAAAAATGAAGAAAAAAGTATTAGAATTTTTAGAGACAGCAAGTTTGAGTGAATTTTAATACCTTTGTTGTCAAATTGCCTGAATAAAAGCCACAATCAATTGATTTACTCATAATTAATATATTTAACATTATAATATTTCATACAGTATTATAATATAATTATGTCTTTATTTTTTTTTTTGGTTAGATTTTTCGCAGATTTTTTTGTAACTGGCGGAAACGAATACACTTTTCTTTTTTACATTTAGATTGATTGAAAGTAAATAGTACATAATGCATTTTTTTGGTAAATATTTATGTTTCTTCTTCGGATAATCCAGAATATTGAGTCTATGTCCTGCTTTGCTGTATCAAGATCCACTCTTAGAATCCGATCGCTCATTTTAAATAAAAAATTTTGCAATTCTATGAACGTTTTTGACTATTTTAAATTAAATTTTCTTCTCTCCAACTATTTCATGAATAAAGATTTTTTCTTAAATTTTTTCAACTGAGAATTAAGAATTTTAATTCTCATCCGCTCTAGTAATATAATAATATTCTGTTGTTTTTTTTTTGTTGATTTTGTTCATCTTTGTTTGACTAACTCTTGTAAAACTACGTTCAAATTATATATCATTTTCTCAAGTCATGCAACATATGTTTTGAAAACAGTGTTTTACTCCATGGAGATTTAGCAATAATCTTAGTATGAATGAAATGCCTTTGAAGTTGATATTTCGCTTTGCAAATTAAAAGTGATAAAACACAAAAATCAATGTTTTTAATCGTCCATTTTTTTCTATTCACTCTGGGGCAAATTGATAAAATTTCACGTCGTCACATTGACTATTGCATAATTTACATGAAAAGCACCCGATTCATTCATACGCCGGCATATTGTATGTGAATGTGTATGTATGTTATTCGTTTGAACGCTTTAAACAACACCATTTTGCATTTAAATTGTTTTTTTTTCTGTTCGTTATTCATAATATTATTATTGTTCTCAGTTTTGCTACTCAATTTACTTGTTTCTGTTAATTTCTCTTTGTTCAAGCATAATTTTTACTCTCCTGTTTTATTCATAAATACTTTCAGTCAGCATAAAATTTAATAAAGGGGAAATATACGTTTCAAGTTTTAATGTTTTTTTTTTCTTTAAACTTATTGTGCTAAAATAACATATAATATTTCGAAATCAATGAATATGTATTGCATTATTGCGTTTTTTTTGTTCATTTCCTTTGAATAGAAAACGAATGCGTTTCTTTGTCGAATTTTTACTCGATTTAAATAAATTCACATTCGTTATAAATTACAACTCTAAATCAAATTGGACTGTTAGCAGTTGTAAGATAATATTGTGTTCTCCTCACGACGATGAGCAAACGAAATGTGTGTTGATAGTGAGTTATTCATTTTTCTTGTTTCATCTTTTGTTTTGGTGTTATTCAGCATCTTTATCTAAACAGCACCGATTCCAATCAGCTCTTTGCTCATTTAATAAAAATCATTTGTTTCATTTAAATTAAAAAACAGATTTTGTCATCCATCTAACTTCTTTGCCCCGCCTCAACTTTGTGTTCCACAGTTTCTTAACCATGATATCGGATTCCAATCCATTCGTAATCGCTTAAATAATGAACAACTATTTATAATGGATATAATTAGTATTGTGACATATATTGCAATTATTTTTCTTCTAGTTGTTGTCCGTATTCCATTTTCAAGGGTGGTGGTAGTGGTGGATTTTTGTTCTCCAAAATCGACAACGTCATTTATTAACAAAGGATGCATTGTGCTATAATTATGATATAGCCTACTATCACGAGAAAATTTACAGAAGCTTAGCCCTAAGTTCTGTATTTGTTTCATATATATATATTTACTTGATTATTCAATATTTGCAACATGATAAGGAGCGTCTTTATGGTGTCATGTGTGTGTGTGTATTTTGTATTTTCTTTTATTTTTGAATTCCCTACGTCATCTATGTTCGTGTATTTATTTTGCAGTGGTGTGCATTCATTCTATGTCTAACTTGAAATTTTCCTGATTATTTTCATTTCTATTTTAACAAATGATTCGCTTGATTCGCATACATGTCTATCTTTGGTTCGCAATTCGATTCTATTTCCCATTGTCTTTTCTTCTATTCGTGATATGAACGTTGTTGTGATGTCCTTAAAATTGGTATTATTAAATAGCCATTTTCATGTTGAGTTTTTTGTTTTGCTTTTTTTTTTTTAAACTATTATGATTGGTAGAGAATTCATATTCAATATTATTTATTGTGAATGCCATAGTTTTATCAATGGATTCATTTAGTTTGAGTCTGAATCAGAATCACTGACTTCAGGTACCGGGGCCGGTAATTTCTTTTCCTCTTTTGGCTCTTCTTTTTTCACATAAGTTGCCGCTAGATATGCATTCTGCTCTTGTCCTTGAGTATACTCGATGCCAACTCTGTGTACGTGAAAAGCAAGCGTGAGAAATCAATCAGTTTATAAGGAACAAACGAAGAAAAAATGAAATAAAACACCCAATGCTCTGTCACAAAACTTACAGGTATTCATATCGAGATAAATATCGCACGTATTTTTCTGGCGGATCATCACTGTCCGAATCTTGAACGCTAACCGAACGAATTGTGGCGTGTGACACAACGGTTTGCGGCATTGTATATTCGACGAAACAATGTTCAGCCAATTTATCTGGTATTTGATCATAGCTTGTCAGCGCCATGCGAACAACCATTTGATGTGTGGTATATGCACCTACAAACATCCATTCAAATAATCATTAGTTTTATTCATTGCTTTGCTGTTAAGATTTAATTTGCAATATACCTTGGCCATCTTTTGGCAATCGTGAACATCTCCACACAATAGCACGATGGTGATGCTCATATTTCGCCTGTCCCGATGTTACTTCGATTAGCGACTCCTGTAATTGATCTACGGTTCCCAAAATACGTTCAATACCCTTGATTTTACCGGTTCGACGATGAGCCGATTTTACTGAACCATATCTGTATTTTGCAAATAAATTCAAATGCAAACTGAGCAATTTCATTCTTTGAAACGAGAAAAAAAAAATACGTCAATCATTACCTAAAGTGTTTTTCTACACGGAACAAATAAATCCAACATTCTGGAATGGGGAATCGAATCGAAACATCTTCGCATGGGATTTGGCCAAGTTTTCTGGACGTAACACCAGGAACAAGAACATCAGCACGCAGCTCAACCTGGAAAGTATATTAGAATTGATTGAGAATTTGCCATTACAACTCTTTTCTTAAAGAAAAATCATACCCGTTTGCCAGTGACACACCACACAGCTTTCACTTGCAATGGCAACTCTCGATTTCTTGGTGGTCGTACACGGAATCGCATTAATTCGATGTAACAAGCGTCAGGTGGTTGGAATCGAATCAGTCGACTTCGTTCATATTCATTCTGCTGAACGCATGCATGGAATTCAACACCTTCCAAACGAATCCATTCCTCAGTGGCAACCGGAATAATGTCGTGTCGTCCAACCACTTCTTTTCCTTGACGCCACATATCGTTCACGCCCAATTCAATGGTTGGCATTCCATTTAAAAATGCCAAGAAAAACAAACGTACCCGAGCTATTTGACGTGTTATCAAACCATCGTACGTTTGTTCGGCAAAGAATTCATCGACTGCCGTCACCTGAACTTCTTCGAATTTGTAGGTAAGTGCTCGATCACGGTGAACATTGAATTTGAAAAATTGCTCTTCAATCAATACCGAAAAGTGCTTAACGTCTTCATAGCTGTTCCCGCCAATTTTGAACAGTTCAGAAACATGGGGATGATGTTCAACGGGCAAACCTAATTTCTTCAAATCGCTTCCGAATTCTTTAACTCCTTGATAATCGCCTTGAATGGCGTATGCAGCAAACTTGCTCAATTTGTTTGTTATGCGCTCGGCTTTGGTCACTTGGCCCGGTCGTACGCCAGGCCGTTCTTTGTACAAAATGTATTGCAATTTTATCGTGAATATTTTACCAAATTGATCGAACGGTTGTGCACTGATTTCGGATACGGAATAGCATCCTTGCAGTGGAAGCTCTTGAAATGGTTCTTTGTCTTTGGCGGTGTTGAACATTTGAATGACAGGCGTATCGTTCTGGAAGGTTATACGCACAAACACTTTCTTCCAAAAGCGTTGAGCTGTGAATTTCTTCTTGTTCGGTTGACGCAAATACATATCCCAACCGCTGCCGGTGTACGTGATGCGTGGGAAATCTTCGAGTGGCTGCGATACATCGTCGTCAAAGAGTGGTGTCGATGGCGATTCCTGCGATCCAGTTCGATTCATTTTATTTTCGTCTGACAATGGCAAACTGCGCTCATCACTGCGATCTGAATCAACGAGATTTAAATGGGTGATTAATTTTAATTCAATGAAAAATAGCAAAAAATGTTCATTTTTAATATACCTTCAGCATAAATTGAGCTGCCTTGTGATCCACGCGATGGTGGTGGTGCCAATCCGGCTTTCGTTGTTTCATCCTGCAAATGAAATTGGAATACATTAGAATATAAGCTTATATAGATAAAGACCGTAATTCCACTTACTTCAGGCGGTGCTTGCATCGCCAAAAATGAGTCGAAACCTTCATCAGCATCAAAACCACTTGACTCACCGGGTGTTACGAAATCGTTATCGCCCCAAGCTAAATAAAATTACAAATGTTTTAGACCAAAGAAACCTATAGCTACGTTTTTCTTTTCTTCTCAATGTTTATATGCTCACCATCGCTTGGAGCTGGTGATTTGTATCCACTAGAGCCTCCTCCAAAGCTATCGAGCAATCCGTCGTCTTTTTTGACTGAATCAAATTTGGCTGCAAATGCATCGAATGTATCGTTCCGTTGGAATGTTTTAGCTGGTTGCTGAGGCGTGACTGCACTCTCAGGCGAACCGAATGGGTTCAATTCAGCCGATGCATCGTACGCAGATGCTTCGTTTATGTACGTGTTGATCATGTCTTGTTTTGCGTTGTTCAATTGGTGATCGACTGGCGTTTGACCTCTGTCCAAATATTGCGCATCCGGACCAGGTGAATAGAAAGGCGTTGCGATTCCCGGTGTTCGAATCGATGAGTCTACAGCACTGCTATTGTCGGATATTGTATCTGATTTATCAGTGTCATGCAATCCATTAAACGGTTCATCATTGATTTTGATCGATGAAACTGGTACACTTTCCGTGGGCTGTTCAACGTGTTTTTTGTGTTCGCTCTCAACTTGTGGAATGTCCTCGACCGAAGGTACACTTGGTATCGTTTTGGTTACTACTGCCGGCTGCTCATGAACTACAGGCGCAACTGGCTCGATGACAGGAGGTTTGGGTACAACCGGTGGTGCAGGTCGTTGTGGTGGAGCGGCTGGTCTTTGCGGTGGTGCTGGTCGAGCAGGTGGCACTGCTGATGGAGCCGGGTTAACTACCGGAGGTGCACTCACTACCGATGCAGGAATAGGCGCAGGCACCGGAGACGGTGCCACATTCGGTATTGCTTGTTGCGTTGGTAAATTCGACTGGATTGGTGCGATATTGTCCATCAGAAAAATGTCCGTGAGAAGGTCTTGTTTTTTTGGTTCTACTTTTGGTGCTGCGAATAAACTTAGAATATCCTGATTTGATTTTGGTACTTGTGGTTTTGGCGCAGTATTCGTTCCAAAATCAAATAAATCGGCCTCAGCGTCTGGTTGATGTGGCACTTCCTCGGGTGGAGATGATCGTGGCGGTGCTGGTCTTGGTGGAATTTTTTGCTCAACAGCTGGCGGTTGATACACGAGCTCATCTTCAACATCAGCGAATGGATTGTCAGTTCGCAGCCCATTTCTTGTTGGATCTGCTTCAAAAACATCGCTCATTAGCAGATTCGCCATCTCGGGCGTTGGACTTGGCGTGTGCAAATCACGCATTGAAACCGGAGATGGAGTTCTCGTTTTTGGAAGTCGATCGAGCAGATGCGTGCTAGTTTGATCGAGTTGATCGGCCACCGATGAGATTAAATCTTGAGTCGTTGGATTTGGTGGTGTTGGCCGTGGTGGTGGACCTTTTTTCACACTTTCTTCAACGGCAAATGTAGCTTGTACGGGCACAACAGGTTCATGTTCATCGTCTTCGGTTATGGTAGTTCCGAAAAAGCTCATCGCTTTATCGACGGATCGTATTTCAGCTTTAGTTGGTTGCTCAGCAGTGACTGGTTGACTAGTCTCTTCGTCTCCATCGAAGGCAAATGGGTTGACAGCTTCAGACAAGAATGGATTGTCGGATTCTTCTTCGGGTGCTGCTGCTTCTGGTTCGTTGCTCAGTAAGAATGGATTTGGCGCTGATTCAGCCGAAGGATCGACTTCATCGTCAAACAGGAATGGATTGGACATTTTGATTTGGTTTTACGTTTGCGTTTTCGTTTGCGTCTACTTGTGTTAATAAATATCTACTTGTGAATCAATTCAGACTCAAGCACCTTGATTTCGGCTTGGCCAGGTCCGATATTGCTTGCGAACGATGTATCGAACGGATCGATATCGTCAAATGAATCCTCAACGGGTAAGGTGATTTGGGGCGTTAGAACTTTTCCACCTAAACCGAGTTCCTGCTGATCGGAGTTGATGTCCAAAACGTTGGTCTTTTCAGTGCTTTGAATGGTTTCAATCAATTCGTTTTCAATCAATTTGAGTTCGGCTTTGCCGGGCAATAGAAGTGCAGATGCGTTACTTGTGTCGAATGGATCTTCGACAGCGAATTCTTCCTCTTGATTGTTTGTTGATGTGGCTGGCGTAAGTACTTTGATATCAATATTATCTCCGCTCGCGCTCAACAAGTCTGTTTTTTGGGCTTGGTTTTGGTTCGGTGTAACGGCACGTGGATCAAAATCTGAATCGCTTATGTCAGCTGCCTCGTTAACGTCTTCAATCGATTTGTCGGAATAGTATGGCGTCACTGGTTTCTTTCTTCCGTCGCTGTTTGGGTTCAAGGTGCCACTCACATCAAACACAACAGTCTTCGCTGGATGTTGGCCAATATTCAAGCAAAGCGATGATTTGCGTTCGGCTGTAGTTATTTGTGCTTGTGGTTTTTCGATAACTTTTTCGTCACTTCTTGGATCAAAGTCCGGGTCACTCAACGAATGTTTTAAACCGCCGTCACTTAACAATTCTTTTTCCAAATATTTGATTTCCGTTTCTTTCGGTTGCACCAACTCACTTATGGCCGATGTATCGAATGGATCGATTTCCTTTTCGATCGATTCGCTGGCAGCGATTACTGGGATGTGTGATAAATCGGTCAAATCACTTGTGCTGCCGCTCAATAAATCCTTTTGCTTAACCGCTAAATTTGTTTGGTAAATTGGTTCGATTTTTTTGATAGACTCCGGTTCAACTGGCTCTTCACCGGCACGTGGATCAAAATCGTCGTCGTCAATACTCTTTTCACGTACAACCGTTGCAACAAATTCAGTATCAAATGGATCTACGTCTTCTTCGGCGATATCGTCGTCGTACACATCAACAATGCCCAATTCGGCTTGTTCCTCGAATTCCGATTTCCAATTGCCGGGCTCAACTGGAATTGGTTCGATAATGAGAGTGCTTGGATCAACTACAATAACATCTGTTTTTGGTTTGGTCAGTGACTCTTCGGCCAAATCATCAAACTCGTCACGTTCGGCCTCTTTGCGCAGTCTTTCCGCTTCTTTTTCTTCTTCTTGTTTCTGTTTCAAAAATTCCAAATAACGTGTGTCCACGTGACCTATATCAATCGGAGCATCAGCTATAACGTCACTCGAATCGTCTAGTAATGAAAGCACTGGTTTCTCTTCGACAACTTTTGCTTTGATCTCTTCAACAACTGTTTCCTCTTCGGCTGGCTCCTTATCTTGATCAAAACTGGAAAGCAGTAAATTTTGTGGTCCACGTCGTGGTCGTTTCAATGCTTCCTTATTTAATGCAACATTTTCAACGCGTCCGGTTAAAACTTCAACCGCTGAGCCGATATTAACGATTTTCTTGCCACGCTTCGATACTTCGGGCCCTTTGATAACTTTCTCGGCAAAATTAGTATCGAACGGATCGGGTCCTAAATCTGATTCTTCGGGTGATTCTGGAACGTATGCGAGCGGTAAATTTCCACTGGCTAATTCATCGATGTAATTGGTATCAAAGATATCCTCGTCCTCCTCCGATTCACCTTCCGAATCGGAAAGTTCAACAACGGCCTCTCTGAGTGCCGCTAATTTACGTTGCTCTTCTAATTCCTCTTCGGTAAGAATGGGTTTTTCTTCTTCGACTTTTTCCGGTAATTTTACCTCTGGCTTTGGCTTTGGCGGTACAACTTTCTGGAAGAAAGATTTCTCTTTGATGCGATTTAAATCACCTTGTGTCTTCTTTAGAATTGAATCGATGCCACTCGTTAGTTGAGTGAATTTCGACCATTCGTCGTCATCGGTTTTTGGCTTGGATGTTGATGTTGATGCTGTTGCTGCTTCTGCGGCTGCTACTGATTGTTGTCGTTGTACCTCCTGTTTTTCAGCTTCTTCTTGTTCGGCAAGCTGTTTGGCTTTCTGCTCACGCTTAAACTGCTCAAGTTCTTCTTCGGTGAAAAGTTCTTGATTCTTTTTTGACTTTTTGTTTTTCTTCTTTTTTAATCCCTTTGGTAATTTAAGCATTATCTAGTTTAGCCGAGACATTGAACCATCTATTTGAAATGTCAATAAATTTAAAAATGGTTAGCATAATTTTCAATCAGAAAAATTGCAAGCGAAATACTTTTATTACGACAAAAGTGCTAGTGAAAAAAAAATTGGGTAAGCATGTATTTAGAAAAACCACACTGGTTAGATTACGTCACATAAAGATCAAAACTATTGAAAATTCGAATAAGAAAAGTGCATTCACAATTGATTGTTGATTCGAGTGATATTGCCATTCTTTTATGCAGAGTGACAAAGCTTTTTGCCCATCCGCAGCTAAAGAAATTAGTTTAGAGCGCATATCAATTATTAAAATAGGACTCTGCTTCTCTCTAAACGAAAGCCACTTCACACACACACACACTCAAATAAATTACATTGCATTGCACAACACAAAAAGTAAGTCAAACCGTTTTTTTTAAATTTTCAAATCACGTCGAGCAAATGAGACTATTGAACGGGTCAAGAGTTTATGGTGAGAGAATGTTCAATTACACATAAAAAAAATTTAAACCACAAACATATCATCAGAATTGAATAAAAAAAACCTTGAAATTTCTACGAGTAAAATGTATTTACTACGTGGAAGAAAACTAGATGTTATGCAATAAATTCGGGAAAATGCTATTTTTAGTGAACAAATTTAATAAATGACCTTTCTGCAGACTTAACTATCCCATTCAACTAAAAACAATAATAAAATACACGAACTATAAAACATATAATTTGCACTCGCATTCAGTATATCCGATTATATTTCATTAGACACGCACACACAACACCCAAGCGCATCCATCGTGAGCGGGGGCATAAAATCTCAGGATATAACACATGGAATCGTATCGTTAAAAGCAATGGAAGGTGTCAATGGCGAATATAAAATAGGTGAGATTTCCGCTATGTTCTCGCTATTTATATATGTATGATATGTCTTTGTCTTTCTCACAATAACGAAAACGTGAATATATGTATTATCGAATTTATTTTTATTTCTTGGGAACAATTTTTGTTTATTTCTGCAGATTGAAATTTTTTTTTTGTTAAACAAAATGGCTCTTACCAAAAGCGCACATTTCAATCGATTTATTCACGATATTTGGAACACTTTATGATTTACGAAATTCGTCTATATCGATTTATTTGCTTCTGTTCATTTGAGTATAGATTTAATGCAGCCAGTTAAAATGACACATCAAATCATCCGCTTCATTGGAACATTCACTTGGTTCCCAATTTCTAAGCACAAAATAAAAGATTTTTTTATAAAATTCCACATAAAAAACATCGAGAAAAAAAAATACATTTTCAGCAATCGATAAATTGTGTTGTTTCCTTTTGCGAAAATCGGTTTTCTTAAAATAATTTCCAGCGACTCTAGTATTCAACACACATACATTAAAATGAGTGAAAATGCTTGGACATTGAAGAAAAATGGTAACGAATCGAGAAACATTTTTATTTTCAACTAAAGAATACGAAACTTACGTCTCTTCACTCAAACACACGTTTTTTTTTATATCTAATTTGTTGAATTTAACCAATTTTAAATGAATTAACAATCAACTAACGCAAAAGCAACGAAAGAAAATGTCCACAAAATATTCTTTTGGAAATGAAGGAAAATTAAATTTTCACTGTGACTGTTGGTTGTGCTGATGAAAAATCACAAATCCATCGATACTTTTTGCCATCGCTGATCGTCTCGAGAGACAACACTGACTGTGTGTGTGTGTGTGTGTGTAGTGACAGAGTGGTTCAGATGGATAGAACCACCAAATGGGTTCCAATTGATCAGAGTGAAACGAAAACACATCGCAAGGGTTGACGATTTGGTGAGACTGCGCACATGCAAGCAATGGTGAACAATCCATTATATTACATCGCATTGCCATGGAACACAACTCCGTTTTCTCAGCGATAAGATTAAATTTTAATTTAATTTCATCGGCAAATCGATTTACAGACGATAATTACGACTAATGATTTTCGTTTGAAATGCTTTTGTTGATACCATAGTTTGAAATCTATTGGTTAAACAAGTTATTTACCTTTGAACTTATTGATTAGTCAATCGATGGATTTTTATTTGCTAGGGGAAGTATGACTTGCGCCTCTTGACACCACACAGACATGCGTACACATGTGACGTAGGCAAATGTTTGACTCACGGGGAAAATGTGTTATGTTATCCAAGTTTCAGTTAATCGAATACATTGCAATTGAAGTAAGAAAGAAACAAATGCCAGTCTTCTTCATTTTATTTATTTGCAATGTGTTATTTCATACGACTAAATTTATTGCTTTGCTTTGCTTTTTACAGTAACAATTTAAAATGGCCCAATCCCAAAATTAAAAATAAAAGTTTAAAATTAATTGTTTCTCAATAAAAAAAAAACAACTGTAGGCTTAATATCATTGAAATCAATTCACTTCTTCTGGAATGGGTCACGTGCAATGTTCTTGTTAAGGTCAGCATCAGAAGCTGGATCAAATTGTGACAGCTGAGAGAATCCTTCATCGTCAACGAAACAAATTTCCAACTCATTCGGATCGGACAGAATGATGACACGAACGGTAGCTTTTCCGGGTGTATCAAGCGACGTCAAGGGATGAATCACTTTTGCATTGCGTTTGTTAACTTCATCGCTCAATTTGGTTTGGTCATCGAATGCAATGGCAAAGGCGATGCGACCAAAGGCTGTCTTACGATCGATTGGACCATCTAATTTAGCAAAGCAAACGAGTTTAAAAATATACTCAAAAACCTTTTCCAGAACATAATGTTTCTCACCATATTTTTTGAAGACCAAATTTGCTTGTTCTCCGCTGTACGTTAACGTGAGCTCGTTATCAGTCTGCTTTACCAATTGCATGCCCAATAAATCCGTCCAATATGATTGTGTCTTTTGCAAGTCATTCGAATTGATGACAACATTTTTGACTGGATCACCGCTGCTCTGTTCATCAGTCACGTAAAATGTATATCCATCCGGTGATTTCAAAACGTACACATCATTTTCAGTTGTGAATGGATAGTTTTGTTCCTTGACACGGTCAATGATACCATTTGCCTTAATACTGATTCCGTTGAAGTCATTTCCTATGGAATGAATAACGTTTATTCAATAATTTATATACAGAAAGAAATAGACTTGTCGCCTAAAAATAAAACCATATTCAAAAATATCTCACCCAAATCATAGTTGGTGACTCCATAATTGTATGTGAGTTCAACGACGAAATGATTTGATTCGGGACCGTAGCCAATCATCGTTTTGCTCCAACGGTTGTCATATGGCCTAAGAACACAATTGTTACTTGTCAAAACTATACAAAGATTGAAAGAAAAATCGACATGTCATACCCATTACAACTAGCAGCACATCCTTCGGTGAACTCCTCATGACGCAAAACCTGTCGAAATATCGAAAAATCAATACAAATTTAAACGAAGAAAATATGTCATCTGGAGTGTGAACAATGCAACAGGTGTTGACGTTTCCACTAAAAACACTCTGTTAATAAAATGTCACTCTCTTATGTACATAAACAAACAAACAAAGTACTGATATCAACTTTGTCTAGACTATGAATCACTTTTCATATACTGCTAATAATAGCACACGATTTATTGTCTTTCGTTTGGTAGGAAAAACCAACACTCAACCGACAGTACGAATCAAATTGTTCATCTAGTGTCGATTCAACGATATCAAAGTGTAATAAAATACAAGCTCGAGTTGCAATTGCAGATTTATCACGTGGTATTCGCTTTCATTTCCCGACACTAATCAACACCTATCAATTACTCCCATTTTTAATAATTACCTTCATTCCGAGAATGTTACGGAAGAAGTTGATGTTGGCTCCACGATCACCGATTTTCAAAACAAAGTGCAAAGCACGAGCCGAAACCATGATTGTTGCTTTATCAGAATAAATTTACACGGAAATGATTTGGAAAAAAAAAATGAAACAAAATTATCCGAAACTTTCACGACGATTTTGATAACAAAAATATTAAACCAACGAAAATAAGTGCGGTCTCTTCAACTTGGCAAGAGCTACTGATTGACATTTAATCGGTCGACACTAATGTGTTGTTGAGTGTATTCAGGCACATGTCGTTGTATTGTATACGCGTTAAGTGTATGCCTATTCGATATCGGTTGTCATCTGCGCGAGAGAACAATCATCAAACTTGAAAATGACTTGAACGAACAGTGTTGCCATAATCACGTTGAAATTTCGAATTTACTTGATCAATTCCAGTTTCCAGACAGTGCTCATTCAATTACATCCAATTCATCATGACTGACAACACTCATGTTGTCTACTACGTCAAAAAATCGCTCACATAAATCGTACCGTGTACACAATGCAACGATTCAACGGAACCTATCTATTTTATTTTCCTCATCGACGATATAGAGACAAAAAAAAAGGTTTTCATCAAGATTCACACACGCGTTCACCGCATATGTGTGTCGTACGTTTCACATATGATCAGACAAAATTGTGTGTATGCGTTGCGTACGTGTGTGCGTGTGTTTTGTTATTGTGGATAAAAGTGTAGTCATCTGAAGCATTTACCGCTGAAACAAAAAATGACGAATGCAGCCGCAACTATGCGAATGTAATACGACCGAGTGGAATGAATAGAGAGAGAGAGAGAGAGAGAGAGAGAGAGAGGAAAACCAACGTGCAAACAGTACGACGATCTCCAGCCCAGAAAAAAGAGGAAAAAAAACATTGAAACAACGTAGCGAGAATAGCATACGGGCCGCATACACTCTTCACGCTTAGTACATTTACGGTGTATTTTCTCTGTTATTTGTTTTCCTTTCATTCGTTCTTACACGTTTATGTTGCTGTTGTTAGTACGGATCATTTAGTTGTGAGTCGGCCATCTGACGCGATTGCTTAAATCTCTGTGATTTTGACTGCGTACATTCAAAGTCAAACCCAGCAAAAAAATCACTTTTCTTCAGAATTATTTTCCGTTGCGATTGTTTTCTTCCATTCGGCTTGCAAATAAAAAGTATTTGAGTTTAAAAAAAAAAGAGAGACAATTGTTTCATTCAAGTCTATTTTTATTGTAGAACTTTTTTACTTGAGCAAATAGACCATTCTCATCGAAAGTAAATGGTAGTTTTATCTTCCGTGCTGCCTATGCATACGTGTGACATTCGCAAACTAAATATTTGACTGTCGAATGTTGATGAACAACAGTAGCAATAGAAGCAGCAGCAGTAGAGTTGGTGGAATAAAACACTTAACATCAACAAAGAAATGTGAGATAGTTGAAAAAAACCAACGGTTTTTGTGTGGCTATTAGATTGTAGCGACTGCGTGTGTGCTGTCCATTAGAATTTCGATAGCTGACACGATTCTCAACAGAACATCACAACACATTGGATTCGGTGTTGAATTGAAGGTGTTAGAATCGGAATGTCGAGCAAACGAGGACGAAAATGTTCAATAAAGACGTGCGACAACTTTCAACACACGCACAAACATTTGAGTTTCTTTCGATTTCCAAAAGATGTAGAAAGGTAAGCAAGTTTTTTTTTTGTCACATCATATTCAATTGATAGCTTCCAATTACATCACATTACATTATGCAAATATGTTTGGTTTGATGGAAAAATCAAAATGATTCACATTTTGTGACGTCACTGCGAGCATGTCGATGTCTAGATCCAAAATTTCATCATGCGCAATCAAGTTACATCTGCTCATATTGTTCTTCATTCATTCTCCGTTTCTTGTTGTTCCCTTCGTTGTGTATGTGGTAGCACAGTGCGCCATTGCTCTTCACCAATCGCTTGAAACCCCGCATGTTTTTCGGTCGCAGTGCACATATATATACATTTGTACACCGTATAGCGAGTACCGCATTCAATGCGTTACCACGAAAAATTTCCATAGTTTTTCGGTCACTTCTTCAGTCTCTTATTTTGCGAACGATGTGTATATGTGTATACGTGTGCATTCTAGAGCTGGAATCGCATTACGATCTCCAACTCGTGCCCAATTAATATTCATGATTGCAAGTGAAAATGATAAATACAGTTATTATTGCCTCGTTTCGCTTTTTTATCACCTTAATCCAACAGTGTTTCTCTGCAGTGTCCATTGGTGACATTCAAAAATTGCAATTACGTTTATTTTACCCCAAAAAAATACGAATTCATTTCGATAGACTGCATACTAAACCGGTTTTTTATTCTCTTTTTCAAACAAATAGATGCCAAACATGGATTGAGAAAACCAAACGGTTTGATTTACTGGATAAGACCAATGTACACGATGAACGAATTTGCCAGCAACATTTTGAACCGTTAATGTTTTTAAACCAAAGTCAAAATCGACTCCATCAGTATGCAATTCCCTCACTGTATCTCACAAGCAAACCGCCACCAGTTCAACCACTATCAACCAATGGTTTGCACATCAACGGTTTACCCATGGACGAAAAACTGTTCAATGTAAGCATTTAAGTTGAGTTACGAACCGGTTCCAAAGGGTTGAAATTCGTGATTTTTTGTATTATGACTATCATGAGAAAATAATCATGAATTTTGGTTTAACGAATTAATAAAACCACCATGAATTGTCATTTCACTCTCTCTCTCTCTCTATCTTCCCGCAGAACGCGTTGATTGATGCAGCGGCAGCACTATTGTATCAAAACAACTTGACCATAACTCCAGTTTATTCATCAAAGCCAAAACCCGTGCAAAATCAGTCATTTTCTGAACCAATCAACCTATCGATGGCCAGTCAAAATGGCGTTCATTCTCTGAACAACTCAATAGTTTTCAATATATCCGATTCTTCCGATGGATCACCGAACAGCTCTGTGCAACTTGTCTCTTCTACAACAAGTCCACCAACAACAAATGGTACACGAGTAGTACCGAGTCCGGTGGTAAATACAAATATGAACGAAAATGCATTCATCAACACGAGTTCGATTTCCAATGGAAATGTCAGTTCGAACACAATCACCACGAAAATATCAAATGCTGGTGGTTTTCGTCGACCACGTCAAGTATTTTCCATGGAACAAGAAAACCAATTGGCTGACTATGTGCGAGAAACATCACATTACTACTCAGGTCTATCATCGAAGGAAGTACGAATATTGGCATTTGTCTACGGTGTTTGTAATCAAGTTGAAATGCCCAACGGTTGGCACGAGACACATCAAGCTTCCTTTGATTGGTGTGTGGGTTTCATCAAACGAACAAAACTTCCACCAACCATGATCACTGGCATTTCGTCGAAAGGATCTAGCAAACAATCGAAGACATCGACATCGTTTGAGCTAAAATCGAACAAAGCGACACCAACACAAGTCAATGGCAATTCCGTGAAAAGCAATGGAAACACCGTCGATAGCACTGCAATCGAAATAGATTAATTTCAACTGTTTAATTTATAAAACATTTTCGTAAAGTTCCGTTATTTAAAAAAAGACATCGTTCCACTAGATTTAGGAAATATTTAACTTTTGCTGTAAAAAAAAATACTGAAGCCTTTCAAGATAATCGTATATTAAAAATGTTGCCACGTAAAATCATAAAAATCCGTTTACATTTTTATTATCAAAATGAAAAATTTATTTAGCTCAATCAAGGCGGAGACAAGAACCTGATAAAGACTTTCCCAATTAACAATTTTGTGTTATCTTTGATTTTGTTATTCAATGAAATAAAACTAAGAATTTAAACATATATTCGAATCTTTGGACTCGTTCATTCATTTTACTGGCACGAATTGGATGAGATGTTTGATGCGTCTGAGTAAAGCTTCTACGAAACTCTTATCTGTTGACGCTTGATCTTGTGTGGTTGCGATCAACTGTTTGCAAAACGTTTCTGTGAACACCTGAACCAATGTCTTCTTCAATACGCCCACATCTTCGGATGTCACCTTCCAACCGGCATCGATCGATGATGTGATCGGCGCTGAAAATGGAGCAAAACGAATTGAAACCGGAATTAGATTGGGTGTATTGAATTGAAGTAGAATTGAATTGAAAGAAAGACGCTTAAAATACTTACAGTCGTAGTTCCTGCTCAGGGACTTGTTAAACTGCAGTGGATTCACGGAAATCGCTCGCAACATGAAGAAATCCAAATGTGCCCATAGCAAATACAAACAGTTTTCCGTCAAAAAGATGCAATATTTCAGTTCATCCTGTTTGTTTACCAATTTTTCAGACAATGTTTCGTACTGCTGTTGATCTATTCAAGCAGAAAAATTTTGATAAATCAATTCAAATAATGAGTTTGGATCAATTGTCAACGAACTGTTAATTAATTGTTGATCTAAGGAAACAAGCAATTGAAAGTGGCATTTCTATGATACTTTACCTCTTTGATTTATGTTCAAACTGGCTTCCAATGCCTTGCGTTGTCGCAGAAGACCATCGTATGCTCCCTTCTCCCGATTATAGTATTCGACGCAATTTTTGAGTTGTGACACAACAATGCCCAGACTTGGCGATGTTTCCAATGTGCCAGATCGGATTTCGTTTCTATTGAAATCAAAACCATTGAAATTCAAATACGAGCAGTTGAAAAAGATCGGAAATTGAATCAAAGTCTTACCGTTGCAATCCTTCGCTGAGTGTGGGCGAAAACAAAATTCCTGTGGCACGATGATCGGCACTGTGATTGGCAATGGCGTTTCGGGCGTATAAAGCCAAATTGCATGCGATTTGCAAGAAATACTTAATCTGGAGCGTTTTCGCCTTCTGTTGATTGTCTGTCGAGAACTTATTGGTGCTGAGCGAGAACGATCGTGACATGTTCAATTGTGATTCGTGTGCGATTAGATTCGATTTGCCCATTTCCTTTAGCGTTGATTCGGAGACAATGAACCGTGGGAATAGGTTTAACATAAGCTTTTGCAAGCGATACAGATGTGCTCCCAAGTCTTGATTTGTCGTTGGCTCAATCAAATTGGAAATGTCCTGATTTGCCGACCGTGCGATTAATCCCGTAATGGCTGACAGTTCCTGCAGCAATCCGATGTTCAGGGATGGTGTTCCAGCTCGTAGTACAATCTCGATCATGTCTCCATGCGATAGTAGGAAATGTACAACTTGTGTTATCGCCGAATAATTCTCTGGCCCGAGTGTCGACAGGATAATGTCGCAAAAATTCAACGCTGGAAAAAGAATTTGTTGATATCGAATGTCCACGGGCGGTACAAACTGTGAATACTGATGGCTCATGTAGTTATTGACTTGGAAATCTGGATGCATGTCGTACACTTTCATGGCAGACAAAATGCCTAACGATCGATGCTCCAATAGTAGCTCTGCGCCAACGTATGAGCTCGCGACACGTCCCAACATTGCCATCTTTGATTCGTATACATACAACGCTTTCATGTTCTCTGGAACACTTTCTAGCACTCGACATAGCTGATCGTCCGTTTTCAGCAAACTGTCGACCAAATGAGCCAAATATCCACGTCTCGAGATGAACTGTATGAAACTGACCATTGAATCGATGTCTAGCAGCATGTCGATGCAAGAGAGTGCGAGCATTTTGCACACATCGTGACCTCCAGTGCAATCGTGACACAGGATATCAACGATTTTATCACCTACGGAATTGAACACTTCCACTGCGAGTTGTGTCAGGTTTGTTTTACTATTGCTATCGCTGACTGCTCGAACCATCGATCGATCCAAACGTGAAACATAGCTAGAAATGTTCAATGAAGAATCAGTTGAACGAATATGCTCGGAATCTGTCTGAACATGATGCGATTATTCCCCTTTTCAACTTACCTATCGGTTTTTTGATCATCCAGAATCGTCTCTTTTGCGTTGAAGCCTTTGACGATGTGCATAAAGTTCAGAAGCGATGCATACAAGTTGATTTTCAGCTTTTGTGATGCCTCTCCACTTATGATGATCCAATCAACGATGTTTTTTAAAATGTATTTGAGGCTTAAGCTATTTGTTTTGGGTGTTAGACTCAAGCTGGTCGAGCCCATATTGAACGAAGCTCCATTGGTAGCAAGTGATTGATTTGGATTGAATGAGCTTGGCAATGCCAAACCATTCGAATCGAATGTAACATTCGCGTGCTTGTACCAATGGCGTAAGCACACCAACATTTGAAGCAGCGTTGATGATGCGATCTTTCCCAGCTCTGGCATTACGTCGACTTGAACGACCTGTGAAAAATATTCAAAAAAATTTATTTTACATTCGATAAAACCATTGCACTTTGAACAAGATCGGTTGGTCTCTGTTAAGAGTATGTTACCTTATTCAAAAGCGCTTGTAGGATTTCAATGATGAATCCGCCGCGATCTTCGTAGCAGAGCGCAAACACAGGTGCTACTGCGAAGAGAATTTCCGTCACTTGACTCCATGCTTCCATGAAGCGAACGGTTGATGCACATCGAGTCTTTTGAGAATTCAATTCGACTGCGTACTTGAGAACTGTATCAATTTCGTGTAAAATGTGTTGTCGTTGACCTGATGCAATTGTGCTCTGGACGATATTCAATTCATCCTTGAGAATATCGTGTAATTTCTTGATGTTTATCAACTTCGGGCCGCCATTTACGTTCGACTCAGGTGGTACGATGCAGCTCTGTGGAGAGAAATGTATGACTTTGTTTTACTTTTACGCAGTTATTTGAAAGTTGAATGTTGCCAGGAAATAATTTTGTATCAATTTTCCCCCCCTTTTCAACTGGCCCATTTAAATGCCACAGTCAAAAACTCACCTGAAGCAGTTGATCCATCAAAGAATTATCGAAAACTTCCCACTTTGGTCTTTCCAATTGCTTGATATCAAATTCCAAACACTCCAGTAGCTTGCAAATCAGCAGATCCGTACTGTTATCACTATCATTTGGTTTTCGGTATCCGCTGACGATGCTTCGGCCAAACATGGAATTATCGGCCGTTGAAAATATGGTCGTGTTATTGCCGAATGCTTCTTGGTGTGTTCCATCGGTGCTTGTCTCTGTTTTGACCGTGCCCAGCAGAACATCGGACAGATTTTTGAACTGTTTCACTTGCTGGTGATTGGCCGTAATTTTCAATTCGATGGCCACACATTTCAGCAACCCCGTCATTTGGTTGAGAACGAATGGATTGTCGTGATGTTGGAATGGCAGCACAGAAATGTGACGCAACAAGAATTCTTTGCATTCGCGAAGGAATCGCAAAATTACTTCGGAAGTCTTGTGATTTGAGCACAATGTGTACAGCAGTCGATATCCGTTTTGCAGCAAACGCTGTTGATTGAATGGAATTTCAATGCCAACTTTCAGCTGCTGAATGCCTTCATCCAAGATTGTGATCAATGACTTTGTGCAATTGCTTGGGAAATCCAAAACGCCCGGCTGTTGAAGCAATGTCGCACGAATGTCTTTTGTGATATCGAATCCAAGCAAGTAATGCGAAATGTTCGGTGCTGAGTGTGGCAAACACTCTTCCAACAATTTGATGATTTCTTCTTTGATTGTCAACTCAATCTCTTCGCCATTTTCCAGGGCACCATTGAAGCTGTCTTCATCGTGGAAAACTGGCAAATCCGATTCCAAACATTCGACAAATCCATGACGAATTTCGTTTGCTAGTTTGTTTGAGCGCGTGAATTCACTCAGAAGCAGTGTGTGAACGCCTGGCTGACGTGTAACATGCGAAAGAATTCGAACGGCGAGCAATGCCTGTTTCGGTAACCAACTGTTGTACGTTACATATTTGACGACATTCAGCATATGATCAGGCTTTCCGCTGCGGTAATTTATGCCAAGCAACAATTTGTTCAAGCCCGAAAGCAAGATTGAACACTTTGCCTCGTAGTGTGCGTCGAAGAAACGATCTTGCCGTGAAAGCGATCGCTCGATTATGTTTAATGCATACAATACGCAATTTTCCAGCCTCGATTTGCCTGGGAAATTTGTGAATGTGTCGAGAGCAGAGCATGCCTCGTCGATTATGTGCAGAAGAAGTCTGGAAAATATGTTTTTTTTTTCATTAGATTTCAGGTTGAATAATTTGAATATATGATTCAATGATTCTACTGAAATAGGCAAATAGTAGAAACACTTCGAGTACTCACTTCAATAAATCAGATTTTTCGTTTGTGTTCATTTCAAGCATGATGTAGAAACCTGGTGGCGCGTATTCATCTTTGTTTTGTCCCATTACTGGAAAATCGGCCGGATTTATCTCGTACGTTTTGACGAAGAATTCGAAGATTTTCAAACACTTCTCAGCGACCGTCCACTTCTCCGATTCGTCTTTGTAAATTCTGTCAATGCAGATCAAAACGAGCTAAGTTTCTCCGCACACTTGTTCAATTGGCTTTCGAGTCACTTACCGATTATAAAACTTCAAGAAAATCGACTCCAAAATAAAGTTGAAATACGGAATAATGCCCGGTTTCCGTGGACCAGCTCCCAAATTCCGTGGCATAATTGTACTTGAGAGTGTGTAGAGTAGCTCCAAAATCGCTTGGGTCAATGGATATGTTTCGTTACGACTTTCAGTTTTATCGATTTCACATTCGATTCCACGCGGTACGGTGCTGAAAGCGTTTGTCGATTGAATGGTTGTGATTATCTGGCTCGCCTCCAAATTGACCCAAAGCTGTAGCGCTGTCTCTTTTGACTTGCCCAGTGCGGCCAGTGTCAGCAAAAGATCTGTCTTCAGTGAAATGTCGATCGAACAACTAACCAAACCCAATAGTATGTGCAGCGGTGCCCAGCTTGGGTGTTCACACAAAGCAATTCGCGCAACGTCATCATGCGTAGCCACGGCTCTGATGACGGCTAGGACTGCTTGCAAACCAGCCAACTCTTGTGGGCTGATACTTCGGTTCAGTGCTCGGCTGCGATAGACTGTATCGGTTGCTGGATGTTGTTCTTGACGAAGTGTTCTGAAAATGTCATTTTAAAACTGTATTTAACCGTTCATTTTGAACCGAAAGAAAAGCAACAAGTTTACATGCAAATCCAAAGGCGACTTACGTGTAGTATCTCGATATCGATCCAAAGAAATGTTCCCACGATAATGTTGTACTTCCTGAGATGTTCGATCCCTGTTTGAGCAGATTGAATGCATTCCGTGCTGACGGTTGACAGCTTGAGAGGCCGGCAAGCATCTTGAGGTATGGAATCAACAAAATTGGCGGCAGCAATTCGCCGGCCAAACGAATGAACTTGAACAATGACACCGATCGGTTTGATGTGCGTTGCTGTTGATAGTTGCCGCTCACTTCCATCGGGCCCCAGTATTCCAAATCCAAGTTCAGATTCATTTGATCGTTACTATACAATTTGCCGACAGTCAGAAGCAACGTTTCGAAATGACGATCAAGATTCGGTGGCGGATCCAAGCCTTGCTGCTGATGAATCTGAATCGTTCTTGCAGTTTCGTCGGCACGCGCACGTAACTCGTTCACTTTCGAGTGCATGAATTCAATGAAGTCAGTCAACAAGTAATGAATGCGACGGAGATAGAATTCCGTTTTGAAGATGCTGTCTTTGTCTAACAGCACGTGATAAATGTAGTCGAAAACCTTCTCTTGAATGGCTGTTTCCGCAAGCAATTCGTGCTGATCGATCAGATCGCTGGCATTTTGTTGCAAATTTTGTGGCGCTTGACGCAGTGTGGCGATTGTCAGAGCGAAAGAAAACAATCCGACCGAGCGTAGCTCGTTGGTTTTCCATTCAGTTGTGAGCGCCGAATACACATCTTTGATGTAATTCGGATCGCTTATGATTGGCAGCTGCAAGACAATGTCTTCGCCATCGTCACGTCTCTTCAAAACGCTTAAATCAAACGCATAGACCAGCGCCATGATCAGGGCCAATGTCACGTCGTCGATGCCTCCGCGTGAATCATCTGATTTGTATTTGGACAGATACTGAATCAACTTGAGCGTTGTGTTTCGCGGCAATCCACTTTGAGCTGCCCAACAGTACAGCGTCGTTGCCAACTGGAGCCGAATCTCTTCGAAACAGTCCAACACTTGGCGATGATGCTTCGGTGGGCCAAGTGCACGATTTTCGCTCAACAATGCCAACTCTTGTGTCACATCTAGTTGCTCTAGCAAGTCTATGATTTTGTTTAAAAGCCCATCGGCTACCAATGAATCCGTGTAGCTAGTAATGAATGTGGTTATATCTTGTGATGCTTCCGTGCACCAAGAAATACCATATCGCGCTTGGAACAATTGTTTAAGCGTTGTGACGAGGGTTTTTCGACCGTCGTAGTACAGGAGAATTGCGACCAGACCACGCGGCAAACCTGGATGATGCGGTATCTGTTGCTGTGCCGTGCATAGCAGTTCCAGTGCTTTGTATTCGTTCAAATTGAACATATCGGACAAGATAATGCTTTCATCCACCAAATCTTTCGAAAGAATTGTGTGACCGAGACCGGGCAAATCGACTCCGTCAGTGATACCCTTTTGAATTTCATCACGACATGTCGCATTTTTTGGCTGTAAAATCCGTTTCACAATCATGAGAAATTCATTCGATAACGACAATGAGCGAGTTGAACAC